CCTGTTAATGTGTCAATGAATAACTCGACCCCAAAGCTGAGAAGAGCATGCCGCGTGCTGTCAAGGAACTCCCGCACCTAAACTTTAGTGCTGGCAGTGGTAAAGCTGAAATTGCCCTGCCAAACAGGGCGAGGGAGGGAGGGCTGGAGGTGCAAGATTTATGATAAGTACTTCCACACCCTCCCCGCCACTCCCAATACTCTTTCTCCTCCCGCACAAACACGTATCGCGAATCTTCTGGTCAACAACGCTCCTTTTGCAAATTCGCAACGAAATCCTCCGATATTGTCTCCTTTCCCAAATCTTGACAGGGAATATCCTAAGTGGCCGCGGAGAGACAGAAGGTACATTAATAGATACTGGATGTATCACGTTACAGCTGAGACTACTTGCTCACTATACTTATCACGCTCTCACCACCCCACCGTCAACTCACCCCACTGCACGCTGCGCTCACACTTCACCACGCTACTGCGCGCCCACGGGTCCCCGCACACACGGCCCGTCTTCTCATTAGCAACTCTAACGTAATGGGCGACTCACCCCGTAATCGATCTTGTCATACCCAACCAACACACAAACCATTAACACTTCTCCACATTCACACAACACCATCACAACACACCCAACACAGCAAATAAATTCGCAGTTCTCTCATTCTCCACTCTAGATATCTACAGAACTGATTATATTCTATTATTGTAGCCAATGATTATTATAAAGCAAATGAATCTTCCTCCACGACTACACAACGCCATTAGTGTAACGGGACGGTGGAGGGCTTGGGGGGGGGGAGCCTTCAGTTCAGGCGGCGTAAACTTGGCAATAGGTTTGGGGGGGGTGAAAAGAGCTTTTCTCTGACCTGCAGAGAACTGATGATGGTGACCCGGCCTAGCAGACCAATCGTAGAGCCAACGTTTTGAGTATATAGGTTAGCTAGTGAAAGTCTTTTCACCAGTGGTAACACGCCCGTTGGTCGTTACCACAAAAGGACAAAACTTCTAAGGGCAATAAAAACCAAATTGAAACTCTCATTGCCTAATGAAAATAGATCTACTTTCTCTACGTGAGACAATTGTCTTTTTTTTTATATTCACTCATTTCTTGAATGTTGGCTTGGCAGAAAAATTACACTTGCCAACAAACCCAGCTACTAAATCTGACGGGTAGGGGGGGGGATACCACTAGATGTAAGAACAAGTCTAGCGAACCGAATTTGTGTAGCCGCCAGGTGGAGGGCGCGAAGAGATCAAGATTTTCAATCGTGAAGGCCGTCGGCAGGACAGCTAGGATAGTCAAACCGTAATCAGGTTGGGTCCCTGAATCGTGTAACGCATGCGATGATTAATTGATAAATATGGATATGCCATTATAAAACAAGGGCTTAAGAAAGCTATCTTTCACGACAAAAAAATTTAGGGCAAAATACTATTGTGGCTAAGAAGAACTGTTGGGGTATCGGTCGCAAAGATATACATTGTTTATTGGAAAAATTGGGATAGGGGATGTCCACTGACTAAATACTCTACGTGTTAGAACCGTTGGGGAAGGAAAGGAACGGCAACCTTTCATTTCAGATTGCACGTAGTTGTAAATGACAGAGGAAGATGTTGTTTTGATTGGGGGAATTTTATTTCCTGAACAGAAATGTGCAGTTTCTTGTATCGAGAAGGCCATGTTTACACATCCAAAATTAAAACATTGCAATGATACAGAAAGTTATTTACTGAATTAATGCAAATAAAAGAAAAATAATAAAAATATACGTGAAAAAGTTTGCAATTAGATGAAACAAAATCGGTATCTTAACGATTAATTATGTTTTTTAGTTCCTGCACTGTTAAAAAGTCATAGAAAAAATGATAAAAAAATTCCTATCTTGACCAAAGTGTGGGCCTTCAGCCTCTTATTCCCCTCCAGTGACGCCGTGCTTGTCATGAAAATAATTTACAACTTAAATTAACTTGTATGGACTAAACCTTGCCCTCATAAACATATGCATCAATCATTGCATCCATTGGCTATGACTTTCGGTAAGAAATGCTTTCGCTTTGCAAATAACGGAGCTTTTCCTTACATACCTGTTCCGTTCTCTAAAATGCATAACGGAGCTTTTCCTTACATACCTGTTCCGTTCTTGGCGCCCTGCGAAATCTTCGATTGCCCTGCGAAATTGACTATTTTTTGGATTGGGGGGGTGTTACACCCCCCCACACCCCCCCGGTAGTTTCGCCCCTGGCTTCAGTTCAAAGGTTTAAGAACAACTACACTTTGAACATGCTTAAAAATCTCTGAGATGAAAAAATCAAGTGGTCGTAATCGTGAGCGCTTTCGGAAGTAATGAAATATGGTAACAATCTATTGGGTGAAAAAAACACAAAAAAGTGACAAGAACAGCAACAGCCCAATTAGAGCTTAAGATGGTTGTCGAAGAAGTAAAAGAAAGCGGCTTTACTGAAACTGGATCTTGTTTGATACCACATTTGGCATCATACCTCAGAATTTGAAGATGGCACAAAATAGATGAAACAAAGCATACTGAAATATTTTTCGTCTTACACTCTCTTCAGAGTATAAAAAACGTCAGATAATGAACGAAAGTAAGCACAATAAACCATTCAAAACTGAAGCTAGTTTTGAATGATGCAATGGTTCGAAATTTTTCTCGCTTCTTTAATGACACTAATTGATTTTGATAAGTTTTGCTTTTACATTACCATTAAAACATGTGTTCTTGTCACGAGGTCTCTTGCACTGATGAATAAGCATAGAAATGTAAATACGTCAGTAATATGTCTGGCGTTTTTCCAGTGACCATTAACGCTTTCCCTTTGGAAGCAAAATCATTTGTTTACTGGTGATGGGAAAAATTCATCATTATTTTTCTTTGAATATCACCATTTATCGTTAATTGTTCTTGATTTACTTCCATAATTTTGTTCTTTATCGCCTTAAAGGTTGGGCAGCTGATCAACTCCTTTTATATTACACACTTTGAATCACACGATGTTCCAACACTATGAACAAATAATAGTCGTATAAATCAGTGAAATTAGAGTAGCATTACGGTTACAGAAAACTTTGGACATGCCCTGAAAAACTAGGGGCAGTCTGACCACACCCATTTTATCAATTAAGGAAACCTATCATTTGTGTAAGATAAATTGTCGGATTGATTTTATGCTTAGGTTGAAACAAATTTCATTTCAATGCGCGCCTCTTGCAACTTTAAAGAAAATATCGAGACCCGTACCCTTGTTGTCCTTGGTGTCTCCAAAGCTTTCCGTGTCTTATAAAATCGTATTGAATCACTGCTGCTGCTCAAATAAAGTTATTGAAGCACTATTGTAAATAGATATAACACAAGCACCGTTTGTTAGGAATGAGAGAGTTCCCACAAAACCCATTTTGCCTGGAGAGTGAATATGCCTGCTTCTCACGCTTCGTCCGTTGAACACTGTTTTCTCCGCTGTCTAAATATCTGGCGGAAAATCTTAATTCTTCGCCGATGGCTTCATCGTGCGCCACCATTTTGAAATAATTGCTATGCCTGTGATTGGTGCTTTGAAGGCGGCTGGAAGCAGCAGAAGATCAGTAATGGGGGGCAAAGCAGCAGGGAAGGGTAAGACGATAGCAGAATAAAGAAAATAGCCAAATTTGCGAGAACAGGGGGGCAACCGTTGTACATCCCGGTGCACCAACGTCCCTGCCGAAATTCAAACTCATTTTTTTCTTTTGCCTACCTTTACACTGCAACAGAATTCAATGACACTAGCTGGCGTCAATGCCATGTGAAAAATTAGAATTTTTATTTATCGTCAAAGAAGAGAATATATTTTATTGTTTGAATGTATCATCAAAGTTTTATCTTTTTTATCGAAGAACAGTCTCAAAGCTCTTTCTCTCGGTACAAGATAGAAAAGTACCAAAATGCTTGTCGTCGAAACGGAGTTCATGTAAAAAGGTGTAGGGCTAAGAGAAGAGTGAACCATTTGTGTGTGGCTCCCCAAGTCCCCACCCAGTCGTTTTTCTAAAGGAAATAGAACAATTTTTGACTACAGAACAGTGCTGCAAAAGCCCTACCATGAGAAAGATCGATTTCAGTATCCACAATAGCAGTTTTTTTATAAATTGTTACTCTGTCGCTTAACAGCGCTAAACAATCAAGTTTTTTCACAAGAAACATCTTTCAAGAATATTCTTTAATCCTTCTACTGAAATCGTTATATGAAAAACTCTGCCAGAGGAGATTGGCTGTTTTCGTCATTTCAAAGAAAGATAAGAAACAAAATCTAAGAAACTGTTTCTATTTCAAGAACTATTTGCTAAAATAATCGCACCTAAACTCAAGAAAGCAAAAACAAAGTTTTTTGGGACAAATGTTGTTTGAGAAAACGTTTTTACTCCCTATGGCTATGTGAGTGCTGCTCCGGCCGACCCCCACTTTGAGGTTATAAAGATCATCGTGCAGCCAGACCGTCCACCATTTGTGATTCATCCAATTTGCATGCTCAATGTATAATGGCGACCAATGATGGCTCTTGCATGGAACTTGCACTCGAAGGAGAGCGGCTTTGTAAGAGTGGAGATTGTCGAAGTGGTGTTTCATATTTTGAGGCAGCTATCCAGAAAGGAACGGAGGATCTAAAGACATTGAGCGCCATATACAGTCAGCTGGGAAATGCCTACTTTTATTTGCAGGAATACGAGAAGGCACTGGAATTTCATAAACACGATTTGACATTAGCAAGAACTTTAGGGGACCGCATCGGGGAGGGAAAAGCGAGTGGAAATCTTGGGAATACTTTGAAAGTTCTCGGAAAATTCGAAGAAGCGATCGTTTGCTGTACAAGACACTTAGATATATCACGGGAGCTGAGAGACAAGGTAAGATGAATTCTGTTTCTGACGTGTTCCCTATTCGTATGTCAACAATACTTTAACAAAGATGTCTCGAAGAATACGTGGTTTTTTCTACCAAGATTTCAAAATGTTGACATGGCGCCTCCATAAAATGTGTAATCGAATTGGATCGTTAGAAAATGACCAGTAATGTATTTCGCCGTTTGAAACCATGTCTATTCTTCATAAACATAGGATTTTATGGCAAATTTTTCAAATGAACTGTTTAAATCGTCAAGCATCATTCATTTTCTGTCAGGTCCTCCTGCCTAAACAAACAGTAATTCCTACTTTCCTTTTTATGATCGCAAACTTAGTTTTGTGATCTATGAAAAAATATTTCACTGTGAGTGATACAAAGAACTGATATTTTCTCTGTCCGTAAAGGTGTTCATCAGGAAATTGGTCTGCTAAATAAATTAACATGCAGCCTTATTATTTCCCATAATGCGGCTTAATTGCAACTAATCAGAAACGAAGCCTTGGAGATTAGAGTGGGCTAGGAAAGGAAAAATCAGTTGAACATATAGCAGTTTGAGTTTTGGGTATTTAATAACAAATTTTTGCCTTGAAGATGTGCGTATTGGTTATTTTTGTTTCAAATCAAGTATATAGACAAGTTTCATTTTTTTTAAATTCACCATTCATCATTGAATTTTTAATAGTCTGAGCTACAAGATGTATGTGAGCCTGGGGTAAGTTCCAGGATTGGCAAAAAATTTACCCAAATAAAGATATTTTACCAGTAAAATTAAAAAATGGTGCTCAGTTTAAGAAAATGTAATAATTTCTTTACAATATCTTTCACAATGAAGCTAAAAATCTTAAAATTTACAAATCAAAACCAGATTGAAAATCTCTATTGTGCTTATCTTTGTAGAACTGTTCAATGCAATACTTTTATTCAACAGAAAATGTTACTTACATGTAACATGTTCCCAAAGAAAAATTTTTTTACAGCTATGTTATAAAGACATTGACTAATAAATAACTTAAGTTTATAAGTTAATCATCAGTAGAATAGAAATAAATCTGCTATCCACGATGATGATTTATTGATGCATGATAGCCTGTCAGATTAAACTGTATCCAAATAATAAAATTTTGATATGAAATTAAACTTTGAAGCTACGTTGTGCATCTGTTACATTTTAAATTGTTTACAATAATTAATGCATCCAAAATTCACATTTTAAAGAAATTTGTAAACAAATTCAAGAGTGGTGTTCAAAAGTGTGAAAAAGGTTTGGAACCCAAAGGAAGATTTTTGTTTTATGACTCTGTATACCTAATGATGCAATGCTAGAAGTACTGAAAAAGTCAAATTGTCTTTGTCAACAAAAAGATGGTATGGATTGGAATGATCTGAAATTTGGAAATATAGAAGTGATATGTCCTTTTCAAGGCGTTCTGAATTTAGTATATAAAAGACCAATTCTTATAAGGGTACATATATGTAATGATATAAATTGCCTTATTTTTTAGGCTGCACCTCTTGGGCTATCAACCTTAACTTAAGATTTTTAAATTCAAGGAATGATAAGCTCTAGCCACAAGCACCTTTATTTCTTTATTTGTTTTAATTAATGGCATCTTGTTTTAACTTAAGGTCAAGGATGCCTGAGCCAGGAGGCAGCAGGGGCAGTGGTCCCCTTGCCCTTGAAAAATGTTTCTTTGTTTTTTCAGATTTTGCAGTTTTTGCAATTGAGCAGTTTTTCTTTGTTCTACTATTTTTTTGCCCAGATTCTTGGCACTTTGCCCCTATTGCACTGTTTGGGTGCAGGCTTCCCTGCCTAAGGTAAAAAAGATAAGCACTAATGACAATATTAATGAAAAACATTTTTTGAAAACGTTTTTCTTTGACAAAGTGTTTCTTTATCATATCAGGAATAGGTAATCCTTCACAACGCAGTAACAGATTGTACTTATAGTGATTGAATCAATAATGATTAGATGGTTAATTATAATCAAAAACTGAATTTAATAATGGAAAGCTGGAACCCACACCCCCTATTCAAACATCAGCCCTTTTATAGCACTGGTCTTATTTATCCTTCCATCCCAACAGAATGCAAAGTTTTAATATGAAATTGATAAAAACATGCAATCTCAAGTCTCTTTAATTGATTTTAACACCTTTATTGTAGCTAGTAAACAGTTTCTTGGTTATTAATTTCCTGCATTTATGGCTTTATCAAACACTTACTTACAGAAGTGTGTTTTCTTGTACCCCTTGCTGTTATGAGAAGACTAGAAGGTTGGAAGAAAATACTACATATACAATAAAAATCTTTATGTTAGTTGTAATTGCATGTCCATTGATTTGCCAGATGGTTTGCAAGTCATACAAAGCTTGAAGATACTGAATAGTCTTATGGATGCGAGATAATCCTTATTTTCCTTGGTCAGCTTGCAACCAATGGGACAACACAATTTAGACCCCATTTCATTTTGGGTGTTTTGTGCATGATTTAGGTCATGTGACTGCAGTTATTTGGCACAATGTAAACGCGACAGTGGACAAAATTTGTGCAGCACAGTGTAATTGCAAATCAATCTGAACAAGTTTTATGCGGATAAATTTTATCCAGCACAGTGTAAACGGGGTCTTAATCAATTACTTTTGGTTTCCTTTTGCATTTAGTCATGTTTTATGACAAATGAGGACTGTCTTTTTGTATTCATCTTTAAAAAAAGCCAGTTGTGGGCTTAGCAGAATCATAATAATCACAAGAGAGCAACAGATCATCATAAGAGAGCTGTTTGGCAACCATCACCTGGACCAAAATTCTTTAATCTTAAAGTATAGTGCTCCCTGTCCTAAAAATATCTCTTGGTTGAATAAGCAAATTTGTACTATTCAAAAAAGACCATGTTTCTGAACAAAGCAGGTGTTTCAGTAACAGGAATAATTATTTGTGTGGGCAGTAAAAACCATAACAGGACTTTTAGAGAAAAAACATGACCACATAGCTCATACTGATAGATTGGGTACGCATTTAAACTGTTTCTGTGTTTTTATGCAATTTTAAGATTAGATTGAATAGGAGAATATATTAAGGCTATTTGTGTTAGTTACAATAAACAAATGTGAAAAAAGAGTCAGTGTTATTGTGAAACAAAGTTGTTTTATTTTTTCTACTGCTTTGTTTCCTACATTTTTAATGTTAAACAGTTTTCCTAGGCTTTGTCATTAATTCTCCATGCCTCTTCATTTTGGCAACTCGAGACTTGATGTTTTTATATGGTATGTTCCTGTATAGTGTGTTCTTAAAAGGTTCGTCTTTATAAAAAAGTGTACAATTAGGGTTTTGCAGTGTCATAGAGAAGCGTGAAACCAGGGCTCCACGTTTTTGTATGGAGTTGAACTGATCCGTTTTGATACTCTTTGCAACGTAATTGCATCGTGGTCTGCCAAGCCTACGAGCTCGCATTTTAACTATGTAAATACCTTTCCTAAACAGCTGCAACAGAAAGCCGATTAAACGACAAATGAACATTGCTAAGCTATTTTGCAAAATAGTTGATTGAGGCGTGTGGCAATTTCGGGATACGTTGACGTCGCAATCAAAGGATGTTTTTGCAACGTATGAGACATGTGATAATCACCGGGAATAACAAATATTGAATTCGGATTAAAGAAGTCGTCACACTTGCATTTATGTCCAATTTTATTGAGGATCTGCAGAACGGCTTTCGCACTGGCCTCCTCGTACCTCTGTTGTCATTGTACTCAATTCAATCTATTTATCATACTAGTCCAGTTAAAATGAGGAGCTCCTTTGACGGTGCAGGATATAAGATTAGGATAGAGACATAAGTAGAATACAAAAAAAGAAGCAGTAACCAAATTGAAAGAGTGACTTTTGCGAACCTTGAAAAGATCCTTAGCAGCAAAATGCAGGGCTAGTATAATAAAACCTAACGAATGAAAGTTTCTAAATGATAATGAAAATAAAAGTGTATAAACTAACGTTAATTACTGGATCATGTATAAAAATGTACTGCTAATAAACGTGAAGAAGCAGGTCGTACTTAGGGCTGTCACGTTGTCCAGTGTTTTTATTCAATAACATACTGGCTGTGTAAAGGCGAGACTTTCCCTTGATGAAACTCAATTTTTTGACGTAAGAAATAGAGCGAAACAGTAAATTATCTTTTACTTATATTACAAAGCATTTGAGTTTAGTGATTGTTTACTCGCACCAAGCTCAGATTTCTGCGATCCCGGCCTTAAAGTGTGATGAAGGGGATCCTAAGACAGAAAAATTTATTCCAAACTTATTGACTGTTGCGAGGAGAATATCTATGAGATCATTTTAGTAATTCTTATTGGCACTGCCTAAGACAGTCTTGTCATGTTACAGGTTGGTGAAGCACGTGCTCTGTATAACCTTGGAAATGTATACCATGCTAAAGGTAAACACCTGGGAAGGAGCAGACACAGGGATCCAGGGGATTTCCCAGAAGAAGTTAGATTTGCCCTGGAGAGAGCTGTTGAATTCTATGAGTAAGTTCATTCTTTGTCCATGGCTGACTGATAATATTTTTGGAAAGAAGGTTTTGTGGATGGAGGAGAAAACACAGGAGGAAAACAACCAAAATAGTCCTGCCATTTCATTATTGAATTAACAAATGGACAAAACTTCCCATTAAGAAGATGCCGAAGAGACCATGCCCCCTGGCTCCTCTCTACTATCTGCCTTGGGGTAGAATAGTTGGGATTTAAATGAAGTGAGCAGATTCAGTCGTGTTCCTTTCAGGGGGTTATCCCTGGCGACTGTTAGATCAAAGAATTTCAACGGAACTCATGCAGTAATAAGTAGTTTCTTGAACTAAGCATCTAGCGCTTCTACCTAAAATCCCTTTTGTCGAAGATGTTTAGTTTCATCACCTGTACAGGTCTGTGGGCGTAAAAATCAACACAAGTCCCAATCACAAATCAAGACTGAGTGGGTGTTAAGACTGACAGAGACGATTGGACTTGCAGGAGCTTTATTCCCTTCCCTATTCAATATTCCTGAAGATTCAAGAATAAGTTCTTTAAATCCTCAACAGCACAGTAGTTGCTAATTAGGCCTCTCTCCTATGTATCATTTCATCTGATGCCTCGTAAAATCTAAAAGTAAGATCGGTTTGGAAACCCAATGCCTTTTGGCAAGTGGATTTCCTGTCTTGCAAAGGTAATATTTTCAAAAATGTCCCAATCTGTCCACTTCTCAAGACACGACTTTTCCTTATCGTTATATTTGGTGCAGTTTGACATGACGAGCTTCAATGTTTTGTTTCACCAGGGCAAATTTGGTGCTAGTGCGCGAACTAGGTGACCGAGCAGCTGAAGGAAGAGCTTTTGGAAACCTTGGCAATACTCACTATTTGCTGGGAAATTTTGACAAAGCAGTCCAGTATCATGAAGAGGTAACTCGGTTTTTATTTGGAGAAAAAGGAAAGGATATTGGCACCTGTAGGGTGGAGTATCCCATGAGTAAGCAAGCATAGGTGAACGGTACCTATTTGTATTAGGATGCATTTATCCCTTGTCAGCTTCTGTCTCTGCGTCTGTCAGACTGAAGCTGCTCCTTGGCTTGTCATGGCCTACGGTGAACCAGACATTTGTTTTAAAAAAAGACCTGTCTTAAGTGATATCAAATCGTGTACATCCCCACGTTCATCACCTATAGGTGTCTCTCAGCTGATTACAGCACGTATTTCACACGAAGATTTAGCGTGTAACTTCCTTGATCCACGCTTATCTGCGAATTTTGATATTTCCAAGAGCATCCGACAAAGCTTTTTCCTTATCTGAATAATCCTGGTCATCCACGTTCTTCTCACTGTAACATGTGTCCTTGCATATTTTTGATGACCAGCTCTTGATAGTTTAAAAATTGTACTTGAATTCCAAAAAAAATTGTACCTTCTTAAAGTTTTGATATGCTTCTTTGGAAACTAACTTCTCCTAACATCCGATTTTGTCACTTCCTCCCTGTCTCTTTCTTTTTGGAAGTCTGTTGCCCGAAATTTCTAAGAAATGTATCAATAAGAAGAGTTAATATCACCATTGAAAACAAAGGAAGGTCCGCTGAAGACCTATAATGGCTGGAGACCCCATAATGGCTTCAATTTTAATTCTGATTCGAAGCTCTGAATCATCTTGCATTGGGTTCTTGACAAGCTAAAAAAATTAGGCCCGCACCTTTAGAAGCCCGATCCGTAATACACTTCTCGGTCCCTGTTCTGCCTCCCTGTGCAAAGTGACACTGATGTGTTGTGTTTCTGATGTTATGATGACCATAAAAAATATAGTTAAAGCCATATGAAGTTTGTTCCTAACTTGACTCTTGGACTGAAAACTTAAATCTCAAAGAGGCATTATTTAGAGGATGTCTGCGTGGTTATTAAATTATTTTGATAAATATTTGGCTATTTTCCAGCGACTGATGGTAGCAAGACAATTTAGTGACACCTCAGCCGAAAGGAGGGCCTTTAGCAATTTGGGAAATGCTCATGTTTTCCTAGGGGAGTTTGAAATTGCTGCAGAGTATTACAAGTAAGTATCGTAGCTGCATCCTTTTGTAACGTCATCTTAGAAATGCAAAGAGAAACAGTACTTCTGATAATGTTGAGTTGTATATCCCTGTCGCTGCTACCTGCTTTTGGTGTCCTTTATAGTTTATAGTCTATCCTATTTGGTATCCTTTAAGTATATCCTTTTTAACCCAGTTATGCTTTCTGCTGAAGCGAATGACGCATTGTAACCTCTGTATTCAAAAACTTGCTAGTTCTTCCAGTATGATGGTATGACGCTCCATTACAACAATAATATGAATTTCTAGTTCAGCGTAAAATTACTCAAACCTTTGATGACCTTTACGCAGGCACTGTATCAATTTCACTTTTAAATTTGAACTGAATTTTCAGAATTTTCATTTTCAGAATGTGTATCATATAGAAAAGCGTATTGATGAACCAAACTTTAAGAAGGGTTAAAGAGCAATTGGAGAACGACCATGGCTGCATATATGTAGATGACCTCTTGATACGGTCCCCTAAATAGCTATGTATTGTAAGTAAAGCCATTCGAGCAGCTGACAGTCTAGTGTTGTGGTGTTTGAAAGTAATACCCGCGGCTCCTCCACGCGAGTTCTCGTTGTTTACTGTGACGATTCCTTCTTATGTGAAAAATCGCACAACTTATTTTCAGTTACCGAAATCCCCTACTTGAATCTGATAAGGAAATTATGTTCTAGTTTTACGCCTGGTCTGTCGGATTTTGTGTTAATCATATAGTTGTTTTTTGCATAATCTTAGCTAGGGAATCATTTTACCCGCAGCTGACACTGTAATTAGCATACTATTCTTAAAGTTGAGTTTTTCCTTCATCGTGTCATTCCGCTATTATCCTCGTTGAGCTCCGAACACAGACGTTTGATGTTTCATTCCTGAGCTGATCATATCGTATTTACCAAGTTTAAGCGATAAATATTAAGTTGGAACATTTGCACCACAGGAAAACGTTGCAGATTGCGCAAACACTTGGAGATCGTGCCATCGAAGCCCAGGTTTGTTGAATTTGCAAAGGGTGAAAAACTGCTCAGTTTATTTTAACGTTTTCTTAACTTTTCTATTTGGTTACATTTAGCAACGGTTATACAAGGTCGAAAATTGTTTGTCACAGTCGATAATCCTAAAGTGAATTTTGCGTCCTTACGTGCAAGTTAACATTTTATTTGAATGGTGACAGGTTGTTTTGTCCTCAAAGATTATGCTGGCTTTTATGGTTGCATTTTAACGACACAAGTACTGCTTTAACAACAAAGTCATTGAGTCATAACAAGCAAAGAAATATCCATTGTAAGCTGTAATTTGAGCCAGCTTTAAAGGTCGAAGACCAGGCACCAGCAACGTCTTGTTTCGATGTACAAAGAAATACCCTTTTTAAACTGAACAAACAGAATATTTGCGCACTACACTTCGTTGTTTCGGCTATCCCACAATAGCCGTATCGAAGGACTTCTCTGTACTAATTATGCATCCTCTAATCAAAACATGCTTGTGTTGCCCAAGAACCCGTTGTGGCCTTGACGGGATAAGTCTTAATGAGCTAGAATTTCCCGTGAAGCGAAGTCGGTTCCCAATACATTTACGTGTTGTGAGTTGTCGTTTTTGTGTCGTGCGTTGTATCTTGGTTTAATATCTTCACTTAGTGCGGTTCTCGTGTTCTTTTTACAAGCACTCGTGTGTTTGACATTGGCTGCTGGAGATAAGCGTCAAAGTCACCTGTCTGATTTGGATTGTGATGTCCATGGATAAACATTTCACTCTAAATATTCTTGTATTATATCCTTTGTTAAATGGCTTTTAGTGATTGCTTCGCCTTGATATAAATAAAAGGTTTCAGCATCAACCTGCTTCAGCATAATCTTATCAAACTAGTTTAAAACGTAAAGCAGCGTTTTCACGAATGTTACGCACAATGATTTACGCCATTATCGTATTTGCTTCGCAGGCCTGCTACAGCTTAGGCAACACGTACACGCTTCTAAAGGCATTCGAAAAAGCAACTGATTACCACTTACGTCATTTAGCGATTGCAAAAGAGCTTGGTGATAGGTATGGTATGATAATAAATGCACCATAATATAATATGACAGAAAGATAGTATTAATAAGTACAATATTTAAAGATGGACCATAAAATTATGTAATATGACACGATAAAATATATTATCAGTATTCGCGGTACATTCTAAATTGAAGTTATCTATGACTTATGATTGGTTTGATCAGCAGCGGGAGATTCCCAACTGTTCTCTTTTCTTGGAATTAAACTCCATATGCTTCAAGTTGTCGGAATATGAAAATATTGATGGCTGTTAATCTCTTACCTCTTGGGTAGAAATTTCATTAGCCTATTTTACTCCACAACATATTTTATTTCTCAAGTTTATTTTGGTAAGGCTAAAAAAGGTTTTTTTGGAAACATAAAAAGTTTTTGTTCCTCGCCATGATAATAAATGTCGGTTCAAGGGTGGTTCTGATGTAGCAATTTACTTAAAGAACTTTGCAATTTTGGCCTAGCTCTTCAGTTGCGTTACTAAAGCTATTTTGCACAAATGCAAGATGTTAATTCTGTTCTTTATAGGGTTGGTGAAGGTCGAGCTTATTGGAGTTTGGGGAATGCCTACACAGCCATAAGCAAACACGAAGTGGCCCTTGGCTATGCTGAGAAACATTTAATTATTTCAAAGAGGTGAGGTTCATTTCAAGGTGTTTTTATCAAGAAGAAGAGATTGAATTTAACGTATGACGCACTTTGTTAAATGTAAAAAATTATACGCTGATTGGGAATATAGGTGTGCTTGTAGACTACAAAAACTTTTGATACTTCCGAAAAAACCTTTTTTTGCTTAACCAAAAAAAAATTGATAAATAATATATATTGTGGAGTAAAAAGGGCTGCTGAAACAAGCTTCTTATAACAGTTATTTGAAGCTTATTGGCAGATTTTCCATCTTTCCTTTTACGTCAATGACAATGATTTAATCATTAAGTGAATCTCAGGTCAAAAATGTGACGTTCAGCGAAATTCTATCAGTAACTTGCCAATGGTTGTCAATGATTAAATATTGCAAGTACGTTTCGTACGTACGAAATTTCAAAGCTAAGAACTTTCACGACTATCTTGGGGTCTGAGAAGTGATGTTTGCAGGACCTGGACGAGGTATAGCAGCATGTGACATTGTTTACCCAGCTTTGTTAAAGTTAGAATTTTGATATCATTCAGTCTTGCTTCAGTCCAGGCAATATTCCGATGGGTTTCCTTCGCAAGTTGCCTGTTTATTCAATGCATTTGTTTCTCAGCAGCTCTAAACCATAGCATTTTGCTAGATTACTACAGTATTCTTCGACGAGCATTTAACACTGTTTTGTTTTCCTTTTCGTCAGGACAAATATGTAGCTTGTTGCACATGCTAGGGTATGACCGAGCTGTAACTTAGTTACAGCAAAAACACAGTTTGCTTTTAGACCATCGCACGTTTCCTTCCAAATTAACATCAAATCTTCAATTTCTGCCATTGCTAATGCAGGTGGTCGCGTTTTTAGTGGCATTATGTAAGACTTGTCACTGCAAGAAAAAACACAAGCTTCAATTCTGTATGTTTTCAATTTAGGTTGGTGACAGGACCGGTGAACTCACTGCCGAAATGAACATCGCTGACTTAAAAATTGTTCTTGGTATCACAGATCAAAAGGGAGAGTATGTATGGTACTAATAATTGTAATGATAATTATCCCCCAAACACACTTAGTGCTGTTATCAACGAAAGCCCGGTCTCTTGTTATGTGTTTGTGTGATATGTGGGTTTTGTCCCTCTTTTTATAGCTTTAATTGCAAAAATAGTTTTTAAGATCAATTGCATAAGACAATTGCAAAATCATTATAATAAATCGAAGGGTTTGATTTTGTCGTTCTGTAAATATTGAAAGTGACTTTTCTTTAACTCAAGGAGCGTTTTTGAAGAAGCACTGAGTGCATCAACGTTTCTTTTCAAAATAGCCATCATCATATTGTTACGTCATGAACTCATTGATCTGCAAAGGTCGGCTTCTTCATGGAATTTTTCCCTAATTTCCTCCCCACCATTGCTTACTTCTCATGATATTTGTTTAGATACTACTCAAGGGAAGATTACGTTTTACACACAATTTTGACTTTTTTTTGCAATAATTGTTGCAATATAGTATTTTACAAATTGCTAGGACTACAAGCACGGCTTCGGTTGCGCAAATTCCAAAGGTTTTTGCACCAGGTAGGTCCAGATCTTAATTGCATTAATTAATAAGTATTGTCTAAAGATTTTGAATTGTAAATCAAGTACCACCTATCAAAGTCGGCTTGCAAGTATCTACAAATATTATCTTTGTGGTTTTTATAAGAGAGTGAAGAGTTGTAAAATTTTTCTTCATCTTTGTGGCTGTACAGATATGCTCTTTAACCTGTTCCTACCTTTGTTTAATTATGGATGATGACATACTTTTCTTTAGCTTGTTCGTTTGGATCAGATTGTACGTTTTCTTGTAAAAGGAAAAAAGTGTGAAAAAAGGATGATGAGATTTCTATGAGATTAAGAAAATAGCAGGAAAAGCCTGGAAATTAGTTACAATTAAACATTTTAAAAGTATGACTTCTCACAGAGCAGTATTTGAAATACACCAGCCTCTTTACTTACAAAAAAAATCACCATGAGCAAATAGGAAATATCGATTTTATATATATACTTTTTCTCTCTCTTTTTTATATTACTTTCGGTTTGAAATATCATTGTATATGGGGCTTTTATTCCATTTGATATAATTTACTGGGTTAAGCGGTATGTAATTTTGTCGCCTCAACCCTGTTTAAATAGTTAAAAATGAAATGAAGTGTAAATGAATTAATACGTTAAAATTTTGTTTGTTTCGAGAAAATTTGTGCTAAGGCCTACATTTATTCAAATTCAGGTTTATCGAACAGGCAACTTACTTAAAAATACTTGAAAAATTTAGGCTCAGAATTTTCATACTTTTAAACAGGTTAGTTAGCCTGTCGCTTCATATAAGCGAGTTTCTTGTTTGCGGGTTTTCGCTATATTTTATTTCCTCTTTATATCCTATGTCATATGCAATATACCCTTATATAACTTTTCTCTTCATTCATCCTCATTTTCTCATGTTTTTCAGCTGTTCAAAACAGCAACCATGTAACGGCAAGTATTTTCATTCATTAATAATCACGGGCAAATTTTTTCGCTTAATAGAAAATGTACGAAATGTATTAGCAAAAGGAGGAAATTTGTATCTAAATTCTCTAATGAAGTTAATTGCCTAGAATCGACTAGATGTCAGTCTAAGTATTTCATTTGTTTATCTGTTCTTCCGTATTATCTAGTAATTCATACTTGTGTCTTTTCTAGGTTTTCTTAACAAGTTATCTCAATTATAATATGGTCTTTAATTTTTTAGAATGGTACTGAAAATCTGACTGCACATTCTGATAACCGCGCGCTTTCTCAAGGTGACGTCAGAGTTCGAGTGCGAGCAGACCAGGTGAGCTGCAAATAGGATTGAAATCTCTGATGGCCGTCTGATGGCCGATGACTGATGGCCTAATGGCAGAAAGCATATTGATGTAGAATGTCTTTCAAATATTTGATAAGAAACATATCCCAAAGTGAATATAATCTTAATTTGGCTAACAAGGAGGCTTCTCCTTTCCCATTCCCAAAACTCTTGAAAACTAATTCTTACACAGACAGGTCTTTCCCGCTCCATATCAGCGCCATCAACTGACATTTCCTACCATCTAAAACATTGCTGTGGTTTAGACTTTAAGCGGGTTTCAGGGAAGTAGCACTTATTCCAACGACCGTCACAGTACGTCTCCACTGAAAACAACACCACAATAACATGCATGAGACTTTTGTGCGTCATATGATGGAACAAGAAAAACCTCTTTGTTGCACAGACCAAGTCGACATTCGATTTTGTCGCTATTTCTTGTATTGTCTTTCGCAAAATTTGTAATTTCGCTTTGTTTATTTAACCTTAAATTAACTGTTAGCTCCTTTTTTGTTTGATATACAATATCGCACCTTCTTTAAGTTCTAAGTACTGTTTTAAATTAATAGGAAGGTAATTCATGCCAATTCTTTAACTTCTGGCTTTGTTTCTTTATTGCAAAGTCGTAGAAAGTGCCACATTTTAACAAAGTTTTCGGTTTGAAAAATCTTAGGCCTAGAGAGTGATGTTCATGTTGATCGAAGGTCTTAGGTGTCGGTGATACTAAATGTCATGCGGCCCCGACGTCATGTATATGCCTTGTATGTGAAGTCATTAGACTGGAGCTTTTCCCAATGTTCTTGGCAGAGCTTAGATTCGTCGTTGGAAGAAGGGCCTGGGAATGACTTCTTGGACATGCTGATGAAAGCTCAAGGGGGAAGAATGGATGATCAGCGATGTGAGTTGCCGCGAAATGGACAGCGGAATCCAGGAAACCAGGCAAACGCATCGCTTGACAGCAGACCTCCGACTCAACGCAACAATTCGCAGCCAAATAACAGTCTACAACCCCCGTCGGAAATGAAGCCTAGTGTTAGTACTGAGAACTTGTTTGACATTCTGCAAAGAGTTCAAGGGAGTCGTATAGATGAGCAGCGGTTTTCAATGCCTCCTCTGCCTGGCCTTGATCCTGCACGTATGTTTTTATCTCAAGGAATTTTATCTTGACCTTCCTTTGCTACAAATGTCTGCGTTTAATTGAATCTGCCTACCCTTTTAAATCTGATTGCCATGTAGGCTTCTGATTGGCCTTTCTCAATCTACAACTATGGAACAGTTGATCGCATCGAGCGTGAGACTTGAGTAGCAACTTGGAACTGTCCTGTTCTATACATCAAAAGCATCAATCCACAACAAGTTATATTTCTGAATCACATTTTCGATACTCATTCTGAAGTTGCCCATTTTGTGGAGTGTTTGCTGTCGTCAAACCCTTGTCTATTCAAGAAACCTAGAATAGCTGTTCCAAAGGAAGTTAATTAGATAGAAAAACACTAGTTGATTAGTTTCATTTTAAATTTTCTATTAATAATCCTCTGTATAATCCCTTCTTTGGTCACATCGTAAAATCCATAAACATTAGTACTGTCAATTATAGATAAATAAATAATATTAATAATGTAATAAATAGTTCATAAATATGTTAATGAATAGTGTAACTTGTACCTTTAATACAAGCAAAAATCGTAGACATTGCGAATATGTTTTAATTTTAGTGCGAGAGCAGCTCATTACGAAGTCAAAAGAAAAACAGTCGACTGTTCCAGATGACTCGTTTCTTGACATGCTTATGCGATGTCAGGTAAGTTGGCTTCAGTCTTGGTCAGTTGCTTCGTCAGCCAGTGATTTTCAGGTTGGACAGCTTGTGAGACTCTGCCCGGTTAAGATTAAGCCAAGTTAAGACTCAGCCTAGTCGAGACACAGCCTAATTGGGGCCCAGCCTAAGAATTGAACGAATTAACCTAAAAAGGGCCTAGTACTCAAATTAAGCTATCCAAATATTTCGACTTGGTGAAGAGGTACTTCTTACACTTAGTTCTTTTAGATGCTTAGTTGCATAATTACTGAAGCCTGAAGGTAGTTTGTTTTTTTTAAATTCCTAGGGTACTTATTTATTTTCACTGTATTGATGGATTAGCTATTTTTTCATGTTTTCATCACTTTTACATCATCCCTTGCGCTTTTAATCAAATAGGTCAGCTCAGTATGTAACTCACTTTTTCCTCCCTATTCAGGCCACACGAATGGAAGACCAAAGATGTGATTTCCCTTCTGTTCCCCGTGGTCCAACCGTGCCGGATGAAGATTTCTTCAGCCTTATACTGAGGCTTCAGTCGAAGCGCATTAACGATCAACGAGTTAATTTCCCGAGCAGGAAGTAAGGCAGATTATGCCTATTCATCACTGTGACATGGTGAGGCCTAAACCGATCTTTTTTATATTCCTAGCAAGTGTTTCTTTTAAAGTGAAAAGTGAAGGAGGAAAGGTTGGAAGCTCAGCACAGACTTCGTTAATTTTTTGAGGCAGTATTGAAAAAATAATATTTTACAGCTTCCTAACAAAGGTGAATGAGACTTCTCAAAATCATTGAAACGCAAAAAGGGCACATGATTATTTAAGATATTACCAAACTGCTATTTTTCAAATCCATGGCCCTTTTTCTTAATGACATAAATGCTTCTTCGCCTCTCAGAAAACGTGGACCCACTTTTCACTAATTCCAAGTTTTCTTTCACAGAAAAGAGTTATATCTTTGCTTGATTTGGAAAACTGGGCACTTTAGGAACACATTCGATTTCTAAAAACTAGAGGACTGTTTGATTTTAAATAAAAAAATGCATACGCCCTTCACGGAACCTTTGCTGTTTGATTCGCAAAGACACATTTTCCTTTGATACACTTGTAGCAGTCTGACGTTGTTGGTTCATATACTTTCCTTAAAAGTTCCGTGAATCTTTTTTAATTCTGATTAAACGTGCAGAACACACAGAGCGTGTAAGGGAGGTTGTTTTATGACTTTTGCTTCTGCATAAGTTTACAAAATCTGCTAGTATCACTACAAAAAATTAAGATTTTAATTCCAAATGCTTTGAGTATCAGTTAAACTTGTACGTAAAAAATCAATATCTACACATTTGCTTTTCAGTAATTTTCAACATCAATATCAAGTCACTTGGGTTTTGCAGTGACTGCTCTCCTACCAGTGACATCACACGATAATCGACATTTACAGAGGAATTAATACAGGGCTACATCAACGCCTCTCCTCAAATTAATCGTGGATTTGGAAAAATAAAAATCCAATCTGCTCTACTTGCATATGGTCAAGGATTTCTCTACTGAAGAACACGCTAGAAGCATCATACTTGCGTTGGCTGCTATGTATGTTTAAACTAAATATAAGACTTACTTTCTGAAAGCATTGGCTTCGTGGCTACGTTGTCTTTTAATTGCAGTAAGAAACGTATACTTCAAGCATGGTGACTTGTAACAGATCCTTGTACTAAGCGCTATTTTTTGTTTATATGGAGGATGTTTAGTATTAGATACGAGGCTGATTTTGAGAGAGAGGCAATAAATTTTCTTGTATAAAGAATTTGAGCTCTTGTCTCGGATTTTATCAGTGATATATTTTATCGCTGATATTGTTTTCAGCAAGAGATATTATCGAAGCGGCTATAAAACAATTTCCTAAAACAAACATAAATTGGGGACAAACAGTCAAAGTTAGGCTATGTCATGTCTAGGTCATTGAAATGGATCAATGTCACAGAGAAAGTACCAACAAAGCTATATTTACCATTAGGAAGAGAAACAATTTTTGTTATGAAATCGCCATTACGTTTATGCTCATTTGAAATACCAAGAGATTCCATCTCATATTTTGTGCATGAACCTGTATTTGGTAGCCTACCTATAGGCTATTTCCCTATTTTTTTCCTTCGTAGAGTGTTCACCCAGGCTAGAACTGGCTGATTACGAATTCATATCTTGTGACCATTATGAATATCTCCAAGGCCTTTCCAAGTTGTTCATTTTATATCTTTCAATACTATAACAAAACATCATTATGATATAGTCGATGAGGACCCCCAACTGGGCTTTAAATCATTTTCACTTTTGAAATATGTTTCAATCACGCAAAGGGAATTTCCCTTGATAGTTGATATGTTATTTTTTCTCTGTATGCTAAGTATTACTATCGTTTCTTTAAACCAATTCAAAGGTGCAGCTATGACGCTGTCCTTTTAATCAAGCAACCCTTCCTGACATGTTCCAACATCGTGCTAACTGAAACATTTTGCTACGTGTTCATTTTCGGTTAGCTTTAGAAGTATGCGTCGCTCATTAAATATCACCCAGTATATACGATTTTAAATCTGTGTGTAGTTATTATATGAAAAAATGTAAAGATTAGGTTTGTGCTTTTAATTTGTTATAACAGTTGTATAGCTATGTCAATCTTCTGAAATTTTCTGATAGCATTTGTTACAGATACAAGCTATTCTTTGTTTTATTCTCTTCTGCGTGGATTCGGATTTTTTAAACCCCTTTAGACTTTGCTTATGGCATCTTACAAGGAAGGAAACTACATTACAGATAAGGTCTTATAAAAAAGTTGCTAACGGGGGTAGTAAGGCTCCAAACATTTATGGTCCACAACGCACCGTGCGGTTTTGTCGAACTTTTCATCTCAGAAGAGAGTTCGTCTTAAGAGAAAGTGAGTCATTTATGTAACTGGAAAAGCTTTGAGAATAGAAATAATGCGAAACTTCAAACATTGTTGGCAAATGGCATATTGCCTTTAAGGTAATAAAATATGCAAACACTTGGTGAGTTATGGGAGTGAAATTTTGTAAGCCGCATGCGTTTGGATTTCTTTTTGATCATATCCTCATCTAATTTTTTGTTTTAGAGTTTGTAAAATCACAGCAGTGCTTTGTTTTGCGAAGCTGAAGCAGTGATTATTCAGATATATGAAGCGGATATTGGAGAAAGCATGTTGCAGGCAGTTGTCCATGCCAATTCTTCTAACAATAAAAGCCATCCGAGGTCGCAAACGATATGTTCAGCGGGCAGTCTAGATGTAAACTTTTGTTTTTTTATGCTTTCTTGCAGCTGGCTTTTTGCAATCTTGCTGCATTCAGCTGCATTCTTGCATTTTTATAGATGCACTGCCATCGCCTATTCTGTTTTCAAAAGAGGGTCTTCCCTGTTCAGCGCAATGCTGATTGGCTGTTTCCCAACTGCGCTCTTGAAGTCGCAACCTCCCAATGTGTTACCACATGCATAAACGACAACAAAGGGTGGCTTTTATAAATTGGGCGGATACCCTGAAAAAAGTCAGACTGGTTAGATGCAGAATAAATGCCAGTCAAAATCTAATGGTATTGAATTAAATGAAACACAACGATTCCTATATAGTGAAGAAACAGTCACGAGAGTTTGAATGCGAGTCAGCTCTGTTTGAATATGAGGTTGTTTCAAAAGTTCAAAAATATCATTGGTGTTGGGAAAAGAGTATGGTTTCAGGCTAATGACCCTTGCAGACATAATGTTGCCATAATTTTTATTAAGGGTCAAACTAACACATACAGGATGACCCACACAACAAGAAAGGCTCTGCAACTACCAGAAACGATTTCGAAAGCTTTAGAAGCCACGCTCGTGGAGGGTCATGCAACCGGCAAGTTTTTCGAAAACAGAGAGATTGTAAAAGGCTATGACTTTGACAAAGGACTTGATTACCACGAGATTTTCAAGTCCTTCATGAACAATGGATTTCAGTCGACACTCTTTGCTAAAGCTGTTAATGAAGTCAATGCAATGGTAAGTTATCCGTAAATCGTGTTTTTTACTCAGCCTAGAACCGGATAACTGAATAAAAACCTCTCGGAATTAACATAATTTACTAGATAGCTCCTCGCATCAAAAAGCTAATTACATACTGTAGTCTGACAAAATCAAGCATGATTGTTTCGAAGCTTAGAGTATTTCAATCAAGAAGGGAGTTTTATTTCTGGCAGTCATTTGCCCCAAATAGAATTATGCATGTTTCTGGCAGTCGTTTGCCCCAAATAGAATTATGCGCTCACCTAGGTCTACATTTTATTTGCTGCTTCTCTGCCAACTTATCGAGCTTAGGGCTGGATATTGATACTCTGATTTGTCGCAAAATTTAAAGCTATTTGCAAATGTATGTGCAAAGAGAATTTTACAAATTTAGTACCTCTGCATCGAGTGGAGTTAAGGAGTTATTGCTACATTCTATGGCTTTAGGTTTTTTAGTTCTCTTTTAGATAGCAAAAAGGAAACTACCTTTGACAGATGTAAGCCCATACATAGATGAAGAAGTAAAACCAAGAAAAAACTTAACAATATTTCTCGGATACACTTCAAATATGACATCATGTGGAGTTCGAGATGTTATACGATTCCTTGCAAAACATCATCTGGTCGACTGCCTTGTAACAACTGGGGGTGGAATAGAAGAAGATTTTGTTAAATGTCTTGGCCCTACATTTGTTGATGAATTTAATTATAATGGAAGTGAAGCCAGAAAGGCTGGATTGAATCGTATTGGAAATCTAATTGCACCAAATGATGGGTATTGTAAATTTGAAGATTGGTTTATGACTGTGCTTGATAGAATGCTGGCAGAACAGACTGAGAATGTGAGAAGTTTTTATTATTTTCTTGACCATGCTATATGATGATAAGGCTGTAATATTTTTCTTAACTCGGCTGTACACTACAATTTATGTTCTAGATACTTGCCCATTAAGACCATATTTGATGATGGGAGTTGAGGAGATGTTATACCCATTACCCATTTTTCACTAGTTTGCTTATAAGGAAAATGGTTTGCTGGTAAGAAGAGGAGAATTGTATTAATCTATGTATCAATCAGCAAATTTTGCTTATCATGAACCCTCTTCCACCTGTACCCCCTTGTCTCATAATATTATGTTATGTTTTGTTTAATAGTACTCTAAATATATGCTATATCCTCAATACCCAGGTAGAATTCAAGCCCTCATTTGGTAGTCTTTGTAATATGAAAATAAGCTGCATGCCTTTTGCACGGATATTTTGCCACAGCTGTCATTGCTTCTATTCCCGGGAATCAGTCCTTTCCCCAACCAATAAATGTCACTAGCTCAACTTTGTTTCCTTTCACCATGATCACCTAAGAACAGGATATTCAAGTGAACAGTAAAGACATCTCTTGGATCAAAACTTTAAATCACCGAGTTTTCAAAGTTTATAAAGCACCAGGTGTTGATTGCAGATTGCTCCCCCTTGAGACTCCCTTGGTTAAATAACTGTTGTGTTAAGCGATCTTGTCATAACTACTTTGTGATTCCGTTGTTAAATCCCATATGGGAATACTTTAACAACACCTTGGATAATGACAGAACTGCCTTTGAATTTGGTGACTTTGATTTACTGCTGCTTTTGAAATTTTCGAAACATAAGCAATTTTTAAGAAGTTTTATGGCAAATAATTTGTTTTGCACATGGGATGATTTGCACGCCTTTTGGGCATGTTTGGAGGTGTGCACATGCCCTTGCATGCCTAATATTAATAAGACTGATTTGGCTTTGCTATGTGAACTCATTCCCTTCTTTTTAACACCTCTCTATCAATCAATTCAGTGGCTTTTAATGTAAAATAAATGATACAATTCTTAACAGATTTTACATAAACATTTCATTTGTTTTCTGATCTACCCTGAACTAGTTTTCTTGCATATAGGTCTACATTGTCTGTAAATATTTTTGGTAGCATAAGCTCTGTCATATTTTAGCTTTACAGAGCATTTATACTTCTCTGCCATTTTGCAGAATGTGAATTGGACACCATCAAAGATGATAAGACTCATGGGAGAAATGATAGACAATGAAGAATCTATTTATTACTGGGCATTTAAGGTTCAGTTTTTGCTATTCATTGACTTGATATGGAACTGCTGTTTACATTTCATGATTGTCAGCAGCCAATAGTACCTGGAGCATTCCAGCAATGAATCAGACAAAAATTTTTCATGCTTGAGAGCTGTTGTTAGTGTACCTCCTAAATTCAGTATGTTTATGCATAGGCATAGATACATTTCCTTAAAGTTGAAACCAGTCACCTTAAAACTGCATGCATCAAGGCTCCTATTCATGGTCCATACCAGTTGTGTATTGCTACTTGCGTTCCAATATGTTTAGGCCAAGCCTAAAAATAAAGAACTAGGCTTTTTGATGCCCAACCATTTAAAGTAAAATCAATGAATATTTTTCATTTATGTATATGTAGACCTACTTCCCTATGATTTCACACAAATACATATATTTTCTTTTTCTGACAATGAGGCATCATACTTTTTTACTCAAAAGATGCTATATTTTTACTTTTCTGTGCTATCATCAAATGAACTTATTTACATGTCACTCAATTCATTTTTCAACTCTTTATAAACACCAAATAATTTCTAATTTCAACTTTATACTGAAAATTTATCACATGATGTTTTTTTCTACAGAACAATATCCCAGTACTATGTCCAGCAATAACTGATGGAGCAATTGGCGATAACATTTATTTCTATTCCTATAAAAATCCAGGTCTTAGAATTGACATTGCAGAAGGTATATATATTATTAGCAATTTTTATATTTCTTAACAAGATTATCTTTTCTAAAAAATACTCTCTCATCAGAAAAAAAATTTGTGATTGTTGAGACCAAAAACAGTAATATACATCTGAGACCAAAAACAGTTGGAAATTCCCTTTGCATTTTTTGTATTGGACAGCTTATAACAAAAGCCTAAAGCCACTGCTAAATTTTAATACTTTGATTGTTATTAAGTATTGTGACCATACTGAAATTTAAATTGCTGATTAAATTATTTTGTAAGTTTTGCTAAACGTTTTTGATTTTTAGACACCCTTTCTATACACAGAAGTGCAATATATTTTATTTTTCAATCAAATAAAATCAAATAGACCTCTTTAACTAGATATCCTTTCATCAGGCCTGGCCATAAGACAAAAAGCATAGGGCAATGAACAGCTCTCCTAGTAATCTCAAGGTTAACTATTTATTAGAGAAGTAAGAATATAAACAGAGGGAGAATTGATTTCAAGGAGAGCAATTTGCTTTTTAGAGCAATTCAGGAGAGCAATCTGTAGCTCCCCTCCAGCATTGAGGAGGGCCTAGAGGGGAGCAAGAGCTGTGGCTCTCCTCGAATGACCAAGCTTGCTTTCATCTAGATGTCTTGTTTGTATGTCTCTTTGTAACTTTCACTTGTTGAGACTAGGGTAACATAACAATGCTTTTTCAGATATCAAAAAGATTAATGACTTGTCTGTATATTCAAAGAACACTGGAATGCTTATACTTGGCGGTGGACTTCCAAAACATCATATTTGCAATGCTAATTTGATGGTATGCTAATTGTTCCCATATTCTACACTTATATTCCTGCATGATTCCATTTAAATGAATAGCTCTACAAAAAATGTCTACCTTTGTAATGGGGTATTTATTTAGGAGTGGTGTAAATCCAGATACATACATATAACCTTCTTTGATAACATTTTGATTTGCTCTTTTAAAATTAACAGCATGTACATATACATTTGTTTGAAGATTGATTCTCCATTGTTGTAGATTTACAAGAAGGAATTGTTTGGCTTCAGTCATAAAACATCATTTAAACGGTTTTGTCATCAAAAAGTGCCTTTTTAAAAATTTTGGTTCAACAGTTTTTTTCAGTCTCAAGCAGTCACATTCTTGTATGAATTTACAGCCCATCACTTGGGCCTAAGAGACATTAGGGGCTAAGTGGGTGATATTTTCTGTTTATGTTTCTGGCAGAGGAACGGTGCTGATCATTCTGTTTTCATAAACACTGGTATGGCATTTGATGGAAGCGATGCAGGTGCAAGCCCCAATGAAGCAGTCTCTTGGGGCAAGATCAAAGACTCAGCAAAGCCTGTTAAGGTATGTGATTCCTTGATTCTTTTGCGTCAATTTAAACATCATGTCTTCTTTGTAAGAACTAGATTATCTAAAGAGGTTAAACTGCCTTTGAATATCTTTGAACAACTTTGAATGACGCAAAATAGATTTTCTGTCAACCTCAGATGGCAAAAATTATCAAATGAAGGGGTCAATTCGAGAATTTACAGTAGCAGTGGGGACTTATTCGAGGGGGGCCATTTGTAGTTCTAGGGCGGGGGCTTTTTTGAGGGGGGGCCGCCATTTCGAGGATTTACGGTATATTGCTATAGAATTTTATGTATTATTGCAGGTTGTTGGCGAAGCCTCAATTCTTTTCCCTCTGCTTGTTGCTGAGACGTTTGCCAGAGACTTTTATGGCAAGAATGATGAGGTATCCAATGGTTCTGCAGCACTGACCAAATGATATCGTGATGTACGTTATAACTTAATTTAATCCACAAATTCATCCTGCGCCGTCCAGCAGTTTCCAACAACATTGATAATTAAGCCAAGTCTTACATCTTTTATTCAGCCACACACCAAGTTTGAATGAACAAACTTAGGGAATCGCTTCTGCGTTTTAATCAAATGTAAACAACAAAAACTTAGTTGTGAATGGGAAATGAAAGTACCTACTATACAATTGCTGAATGTGGCATGAGGTAGAAACGATGCTTAACCTATTCTTACATATTTTAATGAAGCAAATATCTATTATGTTTTGTGACATCTGGTAAGCTTTTCAAACCTTGAAATAAATGTACTGGACTTATGCTTTCCTAATTCGAGTCTACGTGCAGTTTTTGTAACATAAGAAGATTCCATGGAATACATCCTTCTAGTTAAAGAGATCTAGGCGTATTGCAATGTGAGATTTAAATGATACCCTTAACATTAGCGTAAAATACATTTCAGAACTTTTGTTGCAGTCATTCTCTTGCAATCGTTTAAATTTTTTTGCTACAATTAAGACATGCTTCTATTACATTTGATTAATTCCAGTCTTAAAATGAAATTCAGTGCTTTTTGAGGCCCTATAGACTTTGGCTTATTCCTTGCAAATCAAGCAATAGGAATAAAGGCCCCAGCCCCCCCCCCCCATTTGGAGCCACCCATGTGCTAATACAAAGCTCTTAGAATGATTCTTCTCTTGTATAGTATAACACCTTTCTTTAGTATGAGAAACATATCTTTGAGAAACTAATACCAGGATGGTCAAAAATTTAAAGTACTTAGTACAAGGTTCAAGGAAAATTTGAACAGTAAAGTGTCCATTTTAAAAAAGGAGTTAGCAATGGATTCCGATTTCAATTAAGGTTACAGAGTTCATACTGAGTTATATTACTCTAAATGATGTTTAAGGATATCATGCTGTAGCCTAGCAGCTGCGACAGTGTGTATAAAATAAATCATACGGTCCAAGACGTACAAACCGGGGGCCCCTCCCAACTTTGCTAAAGGAAAATTAATGCATAATTTCACTATTTCACAACTTATATTACCCTTTGATTGCCTATATAGGTCATCCCTCTCTTCACTTTTTGAATGCTTCCATAGAATGCTATATCATATTTTTATTAATGATAAAAAGTCTCTTGAACCAAGAGAACTTGTTTCATTTTTTGAAATTGGCAATGGTATCCTTGTGGTCGTTTGGTATCCCTATGACGGCGAATCTGGGGATGAAAAGTACTAGGCCAACTAGCAACTTTGGAGACAAAGTGGTAGAAAAGTGACATTTATCTAGTATAAATTGACGGAGAACCGCATATTTCTACACATTCTTTCAAGCTATTGTCATTTTGACACATTTCAAGCTGTTTTTAGACCCATATTATACAATACGCGAATCTGGGGATGAATCTGGGGATGGAAAATACGCATGCCTAGGCTTGCTAAAAACATCAAAAAATGAATTGGCAAGGAAAAGATTTTATCGAGTGGAAATTGAAAGGAAACGCTGGAAATAACTTATTTTCTTACTAATCATTGTCATCTCGACACATTCCGAGCAGTACAAGCAAGTTTTCGAATCTGGGGATGAATCTGGGGATGAATCTGGTGCTGAATGGTACGCGGTAATTATATAGGCCTGACGATTCTGACGATTCGCTCTGACGATTCGCACGGAAACCGCTGTACAAAGTATCTTCAATAACTTTTAGTTTAAAAGAGATATTAAGTTTATTTTTGTTTTAACAACATATTTAAAGATTGTTTAAAAGGAATTTAGCATTTGGAAACTGAAAATTTCGTAAGATGTGTTAGTAAAGACCAGGGCCTAAAATAAGAAATTTTTACAGATCCAAATTTTTTATAAAAATTGGGCGTGGTACTTTGCTGCGATGGCATCATGGGGGTGGCAAATATTAAAAACTGCCATCATATTGTAAATAGCATGTCCTAATTGGGCAAATCCTTAAATGAATGAAGTATAAGTAGCAAAAGCTGATTCTTTACATTATATGGATTGGGTTAATAAGAAAATTAGCTACATATAGCGATGTCTTAATATGTGAGCAAAAAGTTATCGAAAAGAAACTCTTTTACATGGTTTGTTTGGATCTCTGTCAAAGTTATTTTTTTCCTTACACCTTCAAAAACTCCCTTAAATCAGCCTTGTTTCCCAGACTTTGGTATTTTTTGGTTTTTTGGACCCATGTCTTTGCAGCTTTTCTCGGAACTCGAAACTTGCGAGATGAAGCATGTTAGTTGCAATATTTATCTATTTGATAAGTTTTCTGGAGCTATGCTGCTTTCCCCACCTGCTTCTATCTTGTTGTAGGTGGGAATCAGCTTCTCTGCATCGACAGAATTAGGGATTGCTGCGATGTCCGGGACAAAAGCTGGGTGAGCTTTCTTAAGTTTTGTTTACTTATGGAAAGTTTTTATCTGCATTCAGCCCATCAAATTCCTTGCCATCAAATCTGTTCTTCAAAAAGCTTTGATACTACAAACGAAAACCTCGTTACAGATGGCAAATAAACTCTTCTCTCACCGATGTAAAAATTGTGCTTTATTCTTCTTATTCTCTTTTCGCCCAGTTTAAAAGCATGATCTTTACCCCCATCTTGCTTGTAAAACAGAAACCACGCACCAGATTTGCAAATTCGTCATAAGATTGTGCTAGATTTGCAAAATTTATGCTAGATTTCAAATCAAGGCAACCCTGCTCGAGAAAGAGGCTAATGCATGCTCAGAATATCAAAAGTGGCCAGAGTTGCAATTTGGCTTTTTTGACAACCCAGCGTACTCATTCTTCATAAACAAAAAGGCAATTTATATCCATGGTTTGATGGCCAAGCTTCTCCATTTTGGCAGTTTCTCAAAAGCCCTTGGCCGTCATAAATTGATTTGGCGAAGGAAGCAAAATTTGGCTGAATTCTGGCAGCATATTGCAAAAAACAACGAAAATGCATAGGAAACAAAAATTTATGCACAGATAAGATTCAAAAATATTTAAAATAATTTCAAATGATGAAACAAAGCAAAAGATAACAGACAGTTTTAGATCAAAGCAAGTGAAAACTTTTGTAACCTACAAAGCAAATTTTGATTACGGTATCACTCCCAATAATCAGCAAAAATTCAGCTTGTTTGTATACTGCGTCTAGCTGGCTGCATTTGGCTGCCAACCATTCAAAACAACTGGCAAAATCCTGAAGGTTGGAAGGGCATACCGGAAAACAAGGACCCAGGACTTTAAGGCAGGACCCAGGACCTAGGACCAGAACCTAGGACCTAGGACCAGAACCCAGGACCAGAACCCAGGACCAGGAGCCAGGAGCGTATATGTTCTCGACGATGCACTCGCTGTTTCCTTTATAAGAATACCAAGTTATAACATTGCATACCATGAACAATTGTCCATAAAATCCAAAACTGCACATCGAACAGAAGACTGCACATCATTGTAAGGGGGAAATGAATCTGATTTTATTTCTGACCTTGTGTGAAAAACGAAAACTCGGGTAGCTCAGGAATGTGTTAATGTACGATTAAACGAAAGCAACGCCTTGAAATGTGAAATACTCTTATTGGCCATGCAAACCTGACGTGGTTGTTTTAGCATAGATGGCTAGCACAGCAGTTGCTATTCTTTAGTAGGATCGGGGTATTTTTTATGCACACTGCAAACCTTATATTTTTAGTAAGCCCACATCATTAACAAGCCGTCAAAGCATAAGTAGTCTTAATATGTTTACATAGCAAGACATTAGAACGTTTCTATGCTCTAGAAGCAGGAATGGCTGCACTCCCTTTGGTATGTTTTTCATGAACCGCGGAGCATATTAAAGAGTGAGGGGGCTAAAACGTTTTTTTGGGGTGGGGCGCTAAGCATGCTCATAATCAAGAACAAGGCGATTTTGTATGGTTTTAAGAACAGCCCCCTTCCGCGGTGCCAGTATTTTTATCATTTCAGATTGAACCATTGTGTCAAGAGTCCTGATCTGGATTTGAAAAAGGTTTACTGTTCCATAAAATGTTTCTACTCTGAAAAATACCACTACATCTTTCTGAAAGCGGTCTCCTTTTAAATAAAAAGAAACTAATGCATCTGAAAAAGAGCAGAAAGGAAATTTCTTTGGAATCTTATCGTGACACCCATCGACAAGGTGTCCCGAGACAGTTCGTCTAATTTGAATCTTCTATTGAACATTTGCAGTACAGAATGACTTGGCAAGGTTTCTGATGACCCAGACAGCCACAAGTTGTAGCCGCAGTTGTTTGGTCATTTTAGTTTCTAGGCATGCCTTAGGTTCTGAGTCCTGGGCTATGAGTCCTTGGTCTCCTCTTCCGTCACTTGAAAAATGGCACTCCTCTCTTGGCACACATCTCCTGGGTCCATGTTTTCCGGTATGCCAAATGAAACCACAGATGCTGGTGTAAAGTGTTTGCATTTGGTAACGATAGACCATGGATCAATAGAAACAATGGTTCCTTTGACAATGTTTTCCACATGCATAAGCGGCAACAAAAGGGTGGCTTTTATAAATTGGGCGGATACCCTGAAAAAAGTCAGACTGGTTAGATGCAGAATAAATGCCAGTCAAAATCTAATGATATTGAATTAAATGTAACACAACGATTCCTATATAGTGAAGAAACAGTCACGAGAGTTTTAATGCGAGTCAGCTTTGTTTGAATATGAAGTTGTTTCAAAAGTTCAAAAATATCACTGGTGTTGGGAAAAGGGTATGGTTTCAGGCGAAAGACCCTTGCAGACATAATGTTGCCATAATTTTTATTAAGGGTCAAACTAACACATACAGGATGACCCACACAACAAGAAAGGCTCTGCAACTACCAGAAAAGATTTCGAAAGCTTTAGAAGCCATGCTCGTGGAGGGTCATGCAACTGGCAAGTTTTTCGAAAACAAAGAGATTGTGAAAGGCTATGACTTTGACAAAGGACTTGATTACCGTGAGATTTTCAAGTCCTTCATGAACAATGGATTTCAGTCGACACTATTTGCTAAAGCTGTTAATGAAGTCAATGCAATGGTAAGTTATCCGAAAATCGTGTTTTTTTCTCAACCTAGAACTAGAACTGAATAAAAACATTGAATTATATAGGCCTGACGATTCTGACGATTCGCATGGAAACCGCTGTACAAAGTGTCATCAATAACTTTTAGTTTAAAAGAGATATTATGTTTATTTTTGTTTTAACAACATATTTAAAGATTGTTTAAGAGGAATTTAGCATTTGGAAACTGAACAGCTTCGCATTGAAACAAACTGAGTCATGGTAAAAAGGAAGCGTATACCCAAATTGCAAAAATTGCTGAGTCATTATGATAGCTTCGCTAATCTGATTGGCTGTCAAGCAAACTGCACAAACGATGGTGCAAGTGCTCTTTGTTCCGCCGTTTCTAAAAAGGTTATTTTTTCTCTCTCTTTGCTCTTGCCCTCTACAAAAGATTTCAAAACTTCTTCCCCCATTTGTACCTTTCAATTGCCACAAAGGCTTTTCAAATGCCTTTCGCTTGCGACAACGAATGTCTGATCACATGAAAACAAACTTATCACATGGAAACAGACAAACCCCCACGGAGAACAAGTATTTCCCATGACTCAATGCCTTTAAAACAAGTCGCAGAGAAAGAAATATTATCCGCACTATATGTTTATAGAAGTATCCTTTCTTTGAGTCATGCGACTAATGCGATTCAGTTACACCTTGTGTTGCTTATGAATAGTTCAAGAATTATATAACGCTCAAAGCAAAAAATTAAGAGTGCTGATGCACGGCACAAAGCTAGGTATTCTTATAAAAAAGTCACCATAGAGGCCCTATAAGGGGGGATGACGTTAATTCAAATTTCATGATGATATCTTGCAATTTTCTCACTTATTTGTATTTTTTTGTATTTTTGTATTTGTTTCTACTTAGCATCCGAAGGTAGTTTTTAGGACACTGATAAGCTTATGCTTATCGAGCAGTATCCTGGTCCTTCCTCTCGATGTGACCACACCTTGTGATTCCTATGCCTGGACTTACAGAGAGCTGGCGACTCTCCTCACTCTGGGTGAACGTTTGGTCATGCCGGAGACTCGAACCACGGACCCTTGGGTCTGTAGTCAGCGCCTCTAGCAACTGAGCCATCCTCGCACCTAATTATGAATATGGAACAATAAGAAATAATGAATCTGATACAAAGATATTTACGATATACAAAGGAAAGAAAATATCTAACGATGACAATTCTAGCCTTAACAAAAGGAGAACTCACCCTGAGAACAATATATTGTACATCTATTGAGAAACTGCCAAAATGGAGAAACTTGGGCATCAAACCTTGGATCTAAATTGCCTTTTTGTTTATGAAGAATGAGTACACTGGGTTGTCAAAAAAGCCAATTTGCAACTCTGGCCACTTTTGATATTATGAGCATGCATTAGCCTCTTTCTCGAGCAGGGTTGCCTTGATTTGAAATCTAGCATAATTTTTGCAAATCTAGCACAATCTTATGACGAATTTGACGTAATTCCAAAATTGAGATCTGGTGCGTGGTTTCTGCATTACAAGCAAGATGGGGGTAAAGATCATGCTTTTAAACTTGGTGAAAAGAAAATAAGAAGAAACAAGCACAATTTGTACATCGGTGAGAGAAGAGTTTATTTGCCATCTGTAACGAGGTTTTCGTTTATGGTATCAAAGCTTTTTGAAGAACAGATTTGATGGCAAGGAATTTGATGGGCTGAATGCAGATAAAAACTTTCCATAAGTAAACAAAACTTAAGAAAGCTCACCCAGCTTTTGTCCCGGACATCGCAGCAATCCCTAATTCTGTCGATGCAGAGAAGCTGATTCCCACCTACAACAAGATAGAAGCAGGTGGGGAAAGCAGCATAGCTCCAGAAAACTTATCAAATAGATAAATATTGCAATTAACATGCTTCATCTCGCAAGTTTCGAGTTCCGAGAAAAGCTGCAAAGACATGGTTCCAAAAAACCAAAAAATACCAAAATCTGGGAAGCAAGGCTGATTTAAAGGAGTTTTTGAAGGTGAAAAGAAAAAAAAAACTTTGACAGAGATCCGAACAAACCATGTAAAAAAGTTTCTTTTCGATAACTTTTTGCTCACATATTGAGACATCGCTATATGTAGCTAATTTTCTTATTAACCCAATCCATATAATGTAAAGAATCAGCTTTTGCTACTTATACTTCATTCATTTAAGGATTTGCCCAATTAGGACATGCTATTTACAATATGATGGCAGTTTTTATATTTGCCACCCCCATGATGCCAATCCCAACAAAGTACCACGCCCAATTTTTATAAAAAATGTGGATCTGTAAAAATTTCTTATTGCAGGCCCTGGTCTTTACTAACACATCTTACGAAATTTTCTGTTTCCAAATGCTAAATTCCTTTGAATATGTTGTTAAAACAAAAATAAACTTAATATCTCTTTTAAACTAAAAGTTATTGATTATACTTTGTACAGCGGTTTCCATGCGAATCGTCAGAGCGAATCGTCAGAATCGTGAGGCCTATATAATTCAATAATAAAAACCTCTCGGAATGAAAATAATTTACTAGATAGCTCCTCGCATCAAAAAGCTAATTACATACCGTAGTCTGACAAAATCAAGCATGATTGTTTCGAAGCTTAGAGTATTTCAATCAAGAAGGGAGTTTTATTTCTGGCAGCCATTTGCCCCAAATAGAATTATTCATGTTTCTGGCAGTCGTTTGCCCCAAATAGAATTATGCGCTCACCTAGGTCTACATTTTATTTGCTGCTTCTCTGCCAACTTATCGAGCTTAGGGCTGGATATGGATACTCTGATTTGTCGCAAAATTTAAAGCTATTTGCAAATGTATGTGCAAAGAGAATTTTACAAATTTAGTACCTCTGCAACGAGTGGAGTAAAGGAGTTACTGCTGCATTCTAGTGCCTAATTTAAGGGACTTTCACAAGACCACTAATACCACTATACCACTATATTGTGATTAACTCAAAGGAGGCTACAAGACCTTATATTGGAATGAGGCAGACTCATGGCAGATAAAGAATAGTTTGTAAATATTAAATAGCCCGTGGCTTTTTCACAGAATAATATTGAATTACACTGTCTTAATGTTCTTCCAGTGTTTTTATAAAATGTCTGACTTTCTTAATTTTCTTCCAGTGTTTTCATAAAATTACTGCCTTGCTCATCAGGACGATTCGAAAAACCTTGTTTTAATTTCAAGGAAATCCTCCCACTAATTCTTGATTTCAAGACCGCGTTTACTATGACAGGAAACAACAGGAAACAACAAGAAACGAATACAAACGAGAAGAAACGATAAGGAAACAACATGAAACGATTTGTGACTTTGCAGAAACGACTAGATATCCAAAACGAGGCAAGCTTATCCATCCACGTGGGCATTCGTTGCAGCGGCCTAAGTGTGCGGTCATGTCGTTCTCTACCGCAATAGCTGTTGTCTTAGATGAGGTTACGGAAACCAAGTGATAATGCTTACTTATGTTTCTACAACGCTAATTTTAGCAACAGAAACTAAAAGAACAAACTCCAATATACTAGAGGAACAAGCTGTATAGGTTGACAATCTACTTCTTGAACAATGTTTTGTTTGGGAGCCTAACCCTGAAGCCTCTATAAAGTTTCGGTAAGTTCCTAAAGCAGTTGAATTCAGGGGAAAAGGCTTCATTATATGCAGAGGATTAAAATTGCTTTCTTTCGACCTTCCCAGTAGTTTTTCCATGTTAATCCCAATGCCAGTGAGATTTGCTCTTACAATGCTGGCACTTCATATCAGGCTCTCCATAGGTCAATTCCTCTTACAAAATTACCATATCAACATCTACTGTCATAGCTATCAATGCAGGATTTCCACTAAATAAATAAGACTGTGCCGCAGTTTAAATTTTTCCAAGTCGTTTCCTAGTTGTTTCTTACTTGTTTCCTAGTTTTTCTACTTGTTTCTTCTTGTTTCTAGTCGTTTCTACTCATTTCCCGTTATAGTAACCACGATTTCAAGACCACAATTTGGATTTTCAAAACAATTATTAGTATCCAAGACCAAACTAAATTAGGCACTGCTGCATTCTATGTCTTTAGATTTTTTAGTTCTCTTTTAGATAGCAAAAAGGAAACTACCCTTGACAGATGTAAGCCCAAACAAAGATGAAGAAGTAGAACCAAGAAAAAACTTAACAATATTTCTTGGATACACTTCAAATATGACATCATGTGGAGTTCGAGATGTTATACGATTCCTTGCAAAACATCATCTGGTTGACTGCCTTGTAACAACTGGGGGTGGAATAGAAGAAGATTTTGTTAAATGTCATGGTCCTACATTTGTTGATGAATTTAATTACAATGGAAGTGAAGCCAGAAAGGCTGGATTGAATCGTATTGGAAATCTAATTGCACCAAATGATGGGTATCGTAAATTTGATGATTGGTTTATGACTGTGCTTGATAGAATGCTGGCAGAACAGACTGAGAATGTGAGAAGTTTTTATTATTTTCTTGACCATGCTATATGATGATAAGGCTGTAATATTTTTCTTAACTGCGTTGTACACTTAAAAATTTATGTTCTAGATACTTGCCCATTAAGACCATATTTGATGATGGCAGTTGAGGAGATGTTATACCCATTACTAATTTTTCACTAGTTTGCTTATAAGGAAAATGGTTTGCTGGTAAGAAGAGGAGAATTGTATTAATCTATGTATCAATCAGCAAATTTTGCTTATCATGAACCCTCTTGCACCTGTACCCCCTTGTCACCTAATATTATGTTGTGTTTTGCTTATGTAGTACTCTAAATAGATGCTATATCCTCTGCACCCAGGTAGAATTCAAGCCCTCATTTGGCAGTCTTTGTAATATGAAAATAGGCTGCATGCATTTTGCCCGTGCGATGGCGTGCAATACTAACTACTTTTTTAACACTCGTTTCTCATTCCTGTTGAATAATGATTGCTCTCTCTACTGAAAAATTTGAGCCAGAGATTGCAATCATTATCTGTGCCAGAATGCTTGTCTGCCCTGTAACAAAGGATATTTTGCCACAGCTCCCATTGCTTCTATTCCCGGGAATCAGTCCTTTCCCCAACCAATAAATGTCGCTAGCTCAACTTTGTTTCCTTTCACCATGATCACCTAAGAACAGGATATTCAAGTGAACAGTAAAGACATCTCTTGGATCAAAACTTTAAATTGCTGAGTTTTGAAAGTTTATAAAGCACCAGGTGTTGATTGCAGATTGCTCCCCCTTGACACCCCCTTGGTTAAATAACTGTTGTGTTAAGTGATCTTGTCATAACTACTTTGTGATTCTGTGTTAAATCCCATATGGAAATACTTTAACAACACCTTGGAAAACGACAGAACTGCCTTTGAATTTGGTGACTTTGATTTACTGCTGCTTTTGAAATTTTCGAAACATGAGCAATTTTTAAGAAGTTTTATGGCAAATAATATGTTTTGCACATGGGGTGATTTGCACGACTTTTGGTCATGTTTGGAGGTGTGCACATGCCCTTGCATGCCTAATATTAATAAGACTGATTTGGCTTTGCTATGTAAACTTATTCCCTTTCTTTTTAACACCCCTCTATCAATCAATTCAGTGGCTTTTATTGTAAAATAAATGATACAATTCTTAACAGATTTTACATAAACATTTCATTTATTTTCTGATCTACCCTGAACTAGTTTTCTTGCATATAGGTCTACATTGTCTATAAATATTTTTGGTAGCATAAGCTCTGTCATATTTTAGCTTTACAGAGCATTTATACTTCTCTGCCATTTTGCAGAATGTGAATTGGACACCATCAAAGATGATAAGACTCATGGGAGAAATGATAGACAATGAAGAATCTATTTATTACTGGGCATTTAAGGTTCAGTTTTTGCTATTCATTGACCTGATATGGAACTGCTGTTTACATTTCACGATTGTCAGCAGCTAATAGTGCCTGGAGCATTCCAGCAATGGATCAGACAAAAATTTTTCATGCTTGAGAGCTGTTGTTAGTGTACCTCCTAAATTCAGTATGTTTATGCATAGGCATAGATACATTTCCTTAAAGTTGAAACCAGTCACCTTAAAACTGCATGCATCAAGGCTCCTATTCATGGTCCATACCAGTTGTGTATTGCTACTTGAGTTCCAATATGTTTAGGCCAAGCCTAAAAATAAAGAACTAGTTTTTTTGATGCCCAACCATTTAAAGTAAAATCAATGAACATTTTTCATTTACGTATATGTGGACCTATTTTCCTATGATTTCACACAAAGAAAAAAATTTTCCTTTTCTGACAATGAGGCGTCATACTTTTTTTACTCAAAAGATGCTATATTTTTACTTTTCTGTGCTATCGTCAAATTAACTTATTTACATGTCACTTATAACACTCAAGACATTTTTCAACTCTTTATAAACACCAAATGATTTCTAATTGCAATTTTATACTGAAAATTTATCACATGATGTTTTTTTCTACAGAACAATATCCCAGTACTTTGTCCAGCAATAACTGATGGAGAAATTGGCGATATCATTTATTCATATTCCTATAAAAATCCAGGTCTTAGAATTGACATTGCAGAAGGTATATATATTATTTTAGCAATTTTTACATTCTTAACAAAATTATCTCTTCTAAAAAATTCTCTCTCTTCAGAAAAAAATTTGTGATTGTTGAGACCAAAAACAGTTTGAAAATTCCTTTTGCTTTTTTTTGTATTGGACAGCTGATAACAAAAGCCTAAAGCCACTGCTAAATTTTAATACTTTGATTGTTATTAAGCACCGTAACCATATTGAAATTTAAATTGCTGATTGAATTATTTGGTAAGTTTTGCTAAATGTTTCTGATTTTCAGACACCCTTCGTTTACACAGATGTGCAATACATTTTATTTTTCAATCAAATGAAATTTCAAGGAGAGCAATTTAATTTTTAGAGCAATTCAGGAGTGCAATCTGTAGCTCCCCTCCAGCATTTGAGGAGGGCCTAGAGGGGTCTCCTTGAATGACCAGGCCTGTTTTCATCTAGATGTCTTGTTTGTATGTCTCTTTGTAACTTTCATTTGTTGAGACCAAGGTAACATAACAATGCTTTTTCAGATACTAGAAAGATTAATGACTTGTCTGTATATTCAAAGAACACTGGAATGCTTATACTTGGCGGTGGACTTCCAAAACATCATATTTGCAATGCTAATTTGATGGTATGCTAATTGTTCCCATATTCTACACTGATATTCCTGCATGATTTAAATGAATAGCTCTACAAAAAATGTCTACCTTTATAATGGGGTATTTGTTTGAGAGTGGTGGAAATCCAGATACATACATATAACCTTCTTTGATAACATTTTGATCTGCTTTTTTAAAATTAACAGCATGTACATATATATTTATTTGAAGATTGATTCTCCAGTGTTGTAGATTTACAAGAAGGAAATTTCTGGCTTCAGTCATAAAACACCATTAAAACGGTTTTGTCATCAAAAAATGCCTTTTTAAAAATTTTGGTTCAACAGTTTTTTTCAGTCTCAAGCAGTCACATTCTTGTATGAATTTACAGCCCATCACTTGGGCCTAAGAGACATTAGGGGCTAATTTCTGTTTATGTTTCTGGCAGAGGAGCGGTGCTGATCATTCTGTTTTCATAAACACTGGTATGGCATTTGATGGAAGCGATGCAGGTGCAAGCCCCAATGAAGCAGTCTCATGGGGCAAGATCAAAGCCTCGGCAAAGCCTGTTAAGGTATCTGATTCCTTGATTCTTTTTCGTCAATTTAAACATCATGTCTTCTTTGTAAGAACTAGATTATCTAAAGAGGTTAAACTGCCTTTGAATATCTTTGAACGACTTTGAATGACGCAAAATAGATTTGTTGTTGTTTTGGCTCAAATTTTGACTCCTACAATTGCAAAACTAAGCACAAATTTTGACTCCTACAATGCCAAAACTAGGCACAATCTTGAGTCCTACAATGCCTGTCATAATCTTCGTAAACCATCGTCAGTTTTCAAGAGCAATTTCAGCCAACCCAACCCCCCCCCCCCTCCTTTGAACAGTGTTGGTTTACTGTAAAACGACGTAGGGGATTGGGAAGTACATTTTTCCTGTGACTTTAATGATGTTTGTCTAAACTATCAATATTGTCTTGGGGGGAAGTGGCTCTGGAAGTAGAAGTATTCCGGAAAAGAATTGAAAGATATTAAAACACATCGCATATTGTTGGGTGTTCGCAGTACTTTAGGCAGACATTGTAGGCCCAACTTGTAGATCTTCTGTATTTTTAGAATCTGTTCTGTTCGTTTGAAGTTTTTGGTGTCAGCCTGCTTCTAAGTTGAAACAAACTTTATAAGAATAAATCTTATAAGCGTATTAATTCTTGAAGTTGGACTTATTTGATAACTGATATCAAGGCTGGAATTTCATTACCATTTTGACTTTTTATCTACATCAGACAAGCGTGACTTTTATGTAAAAAGTTTGTTTCAAGCATGACTTTATTTCCTTGATGGTTTTGTGGTGAGAAAAAACAGTAGCAAGGACTTATGAATTCTTCGTATGACTGATCTGAGAATAATTTAAGGCACAGAATTACACAAGTTTTTAAGTTGTCAAGGCTTAGTAAAAATTTGAGTATTTGTATAAAAAGTCTATAGCAAATTAAATGTGCTGCTGGCTGCCATCAGCCAACTGTTCAGAGTTAACAATTGACTTTACAGCGCGTTTATCATCAAGAAAACATTGAGATTTAACCTTACGTTGCCGATTGGATAGGTAACAATAGGTCAATTGTCTATTCCAACCAATGGGAATTTTAAATGGCCAGCGAAATGCGTCGGCACGTTGTGGGTTTAAGATTCAGTCTACGTATTTTTCTTTTGAATGCTACATTCCAATCTCAGTATTTTAAACTTACTTATCATTTACATAATTCATATATTTGAAAAATATTTTATCAAAAGTGATATATCGAATACCGTAAATCCTCGAATTAGCCCCCTGGGGGCTTAATTATTTTTTATATTTTTGAATGGGGGCTTATTCGAAGGGGGGGGGCTTATACGAGGGGGACGGGCTGATAAAATTATTGTAGACATTAAGAAGACATTATTAAAATATCTCGTTTATTTTACTAGGAATTTATTTATGTGCATTTAATTCATTCTTACCAAAAGTATGAATTTGTTGTGGTAATTTAATAAAACGCCATAGGCAACCTCAGATGGCAAAAATCATCAAATGGATGGGTCAATTCGAGAATTTACAGTAGCAGTGGGGGCTTTTTCAAGGGGGGGGGCTTATTGATAATTTGTTGTTCTAGAGTGGGGCTTATTCGAGGGGGGCTTTTTTGAGGAGGGGGGCCAATTTTGAGGATTTACGGTATATGCTATAGAATTTTATGTGTCATTGCAGGTTGTTGGCGAAGCCTCAATTCTTTTCCCTCTGCTTGTTGCTGAGACTTTTGCCAGGGACTTTTATGGCGAGAATGACGAGGTATCCAATGGTTCTGCAGCACTGACCAAATGATATTATGAAACAAACTTAGGGATTGAACAAACTTAGGGAATCGCTTATCCGTTTTAATCAAATGTAAAGAACAAAAACTTAGTTGTGAATGGGAAATGAAAGTACATACTATACAATTGCTGAATGTGGCATGAGGTAAAAACGATGCTTAATCTTTTCTTACATATTTTAATGAAGCAAATATCTATTATGTTTTGTGATATCTGGTAAGCTTTTCAAACCCTGAAATAAATGTACTGGATTTGCGCTTTCCTAATTGGAGTCTACGTGCAATTTTTGTAACATAAGAAGATTCCATGGAATACATCCTTCTAGTTAAAGAGCAGGCGCGCAACTACAGGGGGGGGGGTCCTGGGGGTCGAGACCACTGCCCTTTTTTCTCAAAGAAAGAAAAGTGCCCTTCTTTTGAAAAAATTGCTTGAATATTTTTTTGATCGCACTAAAGGGAATTGTCATAAATGACACATCCATGCGATGTAATGGACCTCTAAGAAATACAGATAAATGATTTGTCAGTCTTTCACACAGTGATAGAGTCTATGTTCAAGCTCCTACTCTGCAGCGTGTTTTATGATGCGCTACGCACTAGTTTTGAAGAAGAATTTTTCTGGGACTCAAAAACCAAAATAATGGCACAAGACTTTGAATGGGATAGGGCCTCTACGACCACTGGTAAAAAAGTCAGAAGAAAGAAACCAAGACATCTTTCAGTCTGTTTCAATGGCCCATATAATTGAAAGATTCGTAGAGGACCTTTGCATGAAACAAGCGAATGTAGAGAAATACTCGCGGACTGGTATTAGCAAGCAGTGAAGATACCACAATAAGTTAATGTTCAGCTGTTTCATTCCTCAGCTGAAGTTGATGTTCAGCTGTATTACAGCTCAGCTGAAGTCAAGACTTGCAGGCAGAAACCAGCTGAACTCAAGGCTCATGGACCTGTTAAACCTCCTCCCATCTGTAATGCGAAGCATATAATTCAATGTTCTTAAGGCCGTTCATATTTTAAAGAGCAAATTGTTTTCGGATATGGAGAATAAAGGACTGATTTTTAAAAATGCCACCGAGAGGGGGCAAGGGGGAAAATTGCCCTAGGCCCTCAAGGTCTAAGGGACCTCATAAAGCAATCAATTCCGCTTTAACATAGAACTAAATAAAAGTAAAAAAATTACACTTAAAAAGTAAACATTTTGAACGAATGAATGAATTCAAGCTATTCATAAGGGCGTTGTTACAAAATTTTGTTGCTCGCTTCTTTTATCCCCCCCCCCCCCTCGGGTCTTCAGAGGTCTTTAATTCCCCCCCTCGGGTCTCCAAAACCTCTCGGCGGCCCTGGATGTTAGACAGAAAGTAGAAGTCCGCTGAGATTTGAGAAAATAGACGAAGGAATAAAATACAGACTCATACATCACAATTTTTCTGTATTGGTCAGTTTTCTTTGCCTGGCATACAATATTTACAGGTATACTAACTGCTCATATTTTTGTTGTACCTAAACAAATGCCCCGATGGACCTTCGGCGTACACGAAATGCACCCTGGCATCTCTTCTGTTGAACGTGAACGTGAATAAAGTTTCCTTAGTGCCCTTTTTTGTCTTGGACCCCTGCCCTCTGAAATTCCTGGTTGCGTGCATGAAGAGTATTGCAATGTGAGATTTATGTCCTTCAGAGCTGATTTTAGGAATGGTTGTGTGATGGGGAATATTTAGGAATGGTATGAGTATGGTGTCTCTAAGAAACAGCTTTTCGACTAGCACTGAGTTGATTTTACATTAGGAAACTATATTACACATAACTTTTGAAGGCAGAGAGATCGCACAGTGAGATTTTGTGGGTGATGGCCTATCCTCAAATTTTCATCACATTTATCATCCTTAGAAAACTGCAAGAATTGCATGAGTAAACTGGTGATGAGAATAATTAACCTTTCAAATGAATCATAGAAAACAGTTTCGTTGTTTTAATTAAGATAACTTTTTGTGTTGTAAAAAACAGTGAAGTTATGGGATTTGATAACTGCCTGTCGATATACGTTGAGTAAATTTCTATCTTGATTGACTAGGCAGTTTTACATTTCTTTTAAGTTTCACAGACGGCCCTGCTTATATCTCTGATAATATCATATAGGTGTACTAATAGTATTTTTGATTAAAAATTAGAATTTCTTTGTTTCTTATCTTTTGAGGTAAGGATGGCTTTCCTTGGCCTATTTTGGCATGCCTTCCCTTCTGGGGGGGGGGGGGTTGGTGATTTCACATTGCTTTTTCCGAATTCCTCCCGTTTAAGAATTTTAGGTCTTTGAAATTTGAATTTTTAAGGTTTTCGCCGAGTGGTTTGACGTTGCGCTTTAATTCCTGCGAATATAGACCATCAACTAACACCGTATTTGTCCTTTTGTTTCTTATTCCCCATTGTCCCCTTACGCTGACGGAATTACAATGTGAGTGGGGGGGGGTTACTTGATGTAAAGAGCCCCCAATGATACAGTGTCGAATGCTTTATCTAACTTCTCCAAGTTTTGTTTTCTGTGTCTTGGTTCCGCGAGAGGGCCTTCAGCCTTTATGGATTTTGGATATCTGGATATAGTAATTCAAAAAGTTCTCGACTGAAGTCAACCAAAGTCTTGTCTTCATAAAGGTCTATATTTGGCGATTTATACAGAGAAGATTCTCAGCAAAGTAGCTGTATCTAGAACTCTAGAACCACCATTTTCTGAGAATGAATTCAAGAATATTCTAGCACAAGGTCATTGGCTTTCTTCAGCTGGGAATTCTATGTTATTTATCCATGCTTGACCCCCTTACAATCAGTAATAGACAGTAAGCACACTTTGGATTGGTGCTTCCTTAAAGACTGAAGACCTGATCAAACATCCTTCTTATGAGACGGTTTTGCGATGTCAATATTTGTTGTCGTCACTCTTTCTTCAGTTTAGGTAATCTGTATTTTGCTTTCCTTTATTAATAACGCGCTTACATCGTTTCTTATAAGAACTCGAGATAAAATTCCTCCTAAGGAATTGTAAAGTATTGTCTACAAGTCAACATATGTCTTTTGTTTCCCATATGCAATAAATTGCAATAGAACGGATTGTTACTGACGATTCGGACTTCATGTAACGGTGTGTTTTTATATTGACTCGAGTTGACAGTTTTGCTAGAGGCAGCGACAAGCGTCCTTTCTACGACGAGTACCAGCAGACGTTGTCTTCATCAGTCAGCAATACTTGCATGAACGGCAATTGGCTTGAAGATATCTCGTTTCCAACTATTGACACTGCTCAAACTTCTCGATCGTTTTAGGTCCCAAAATTGTCTTATTCTGCAAACATCCACTATTGATATATGAAATAGTTTCTGATGCATTAGCACAGCCTCCTCTCATTATCTTCCGCTACAAACATCATAATGGTGATGGTTATCAAAAGCAGATTTCGGGTGACTTGGAGCTATATACGGCTGTGTCTTTACCTTGCCTCCATGATCTGGGCCATCGATGCCGAGCTGTTTGTTTACAGTGAAATGCAATGCGAAGATTTGTGCCTACGTAGCACTTACTGCACCGGGTATAAATTGGAGAAGAAAGACGGAGACAGCAAGACAAAGTGTCATCTAATTTCAAATAAACATGAAACTTTGTTACTAAGAGTAAGTATATCTCTTTATCGATACAAATTAGACGATTTTGGTCACCAGTGTTATCATTGCTATATGCCTTTGTGTTTAGCTTTCGCCAGAGGAAAAACATAATGATAATTGACATCGGATGTGAAATGTCCAACTTAATATCCAAATCTTATCATATCTTGCCAAACAACCGCCAACAGGTCTGTACTGCTTTTATATAAAAACATTTGTTGATGTTCAGCGTGCGCTTAAAATTTATTCAGACGAAGGGTGATACTAAAATAAAGGGAGATTTCTGTCTTAGTGCGGATCGAAATTTACATGTATAAATATCCGTTCAACTACTTATAAATATCCATTCACCTTTGGACACAATCTGACATTTTATGCCAGGACTCGTTAATGTTGTCGTCCTATTTTAACAATTTAGGAATATACAGTCATCAAAATATCATGTTTTCTGGTGTCCAATTGAATTAAAACATATCTTTATATCTGAATTTAAACAGATTGAAGCAAGTTTATTTAAGATCAAGAATTTCGTCTACAAGATCAAAGATATGCTAAAATATTTGTTTTGAATTCAATTTTTGGCATAATAGTGAAAAAGACAGGTTCACAATTGTCTTATAATTTTGATAAAGATGTGAATTGAAGTTCTCTTGCAGTTGCTAAGTTGTAGATAAAGCTATAAACTGGATTCAGACTTCAATCAGGGAATTGATTCTGTAAATAAGAATTATGACGAAAATGCTCTATGCCTGTTTGATATGATTAGAACTATCAAGCATGTGGTTATTTTTCAGGACAGTTTTCATTTCAATCTCTTTGTTTTTACCAGTAAAAGAGACATAAAACAAACGTTTCATTTTATCTACAAGCATTAATACTGCTTTGTTATAAATTTCCCTGCTATTAAATGAAATCTCCGGGGCCTTCTTTGCTTCGCCTACGTTTTGAACTGCGTCTCCAAGGAGTCACGTGAGAACTGAGCATTACGTAGTGGCCTTTCGTCTTCTTGTGTTGAAATTTTTGTTCGTTGCATTCAAGCAAAACGGTAAGCGATTCTGATAATTCGTTATGTTAAAATACAAAATCTTATTTAGCATTATTCACTTTGAAAAGCAATGCAGTTCTAGCTGGCTCGTTTTTCTTTGCAAGTTGTCGTTGTCGATAGATAAGCACAAGCGTGAATTATATAAACAAAATGAAGAAGATTTTAGACGATAAGCAATAAAAGAGGGTTCTAACACACTCTTTTGTGCATTATCTTTAAACAAACACAGCTAGTAAGCTTTCCATTAGAAATTAACAAAATCGAACTATTCATAAAAAATAAAACAGCTTTTGGTTGAATTTACTTGCGTCACGTGTCAACGCTTGCGCCTAATGTCTTTTCAATGTCATATTGATTTGTATTAAGCTGCCCCACACATTTAGCTTCCAAAGAAAATTTCTCTCACGAAGAGTGTAAGTTGAACTCATTAATATTAGGTATATGCTCACTAAAACTGATGGTAAAAAATTTGTATTTTAGATTCAAGTTAAAAAAATGACCCTGCTATCATGAAAAATAAATATGATACGAAATGAGACAAAAACTGATATTTCGAGTAGTTTTGTTGACTTGCTTAAATGCCAGAAAAATTTATGCAGACACAAAGGCGTGTCTCATCCTTTAAGGTGTGGTAGTAAGATGAATGATTTCAAATACCGCTTTCGTGCGTTTCTACTTAAATATTCAGCATTAAAGCAGCCCAACCTTTTGCGCCCCCTCCCCGAGTATAAATGGTTCGATTATTCTGTTTTGGATCTCGTCTGTTACAGGACCGGCTAGCTCTGAAGTGTAGCCCCAACCCATGTCAACATGGCGGAACCTGCATTGAGGATCCCAAGAGGTGCAGGAAGATATTTTGCACTTGCAAAAAAAATTGGACGGGAACAGTTTGTGAAATTAAGGATAAAGATGCTGGTGGAGCCGTACTTTCAGACTGTGCCTGACTAGGATATTTGGTAAGCTTTAAGAACAGGCGATTCATGTTTCTATGGAGTTATTTTGTTGTAAAGACTTTAAAAAGGCAGGACGGTTAAAGTAGAGACTTCTTTGAACAAATCGAACCGAGAAAAGTTAATGCAGAGGAACTCACAAAAGCAAGAATAAAGATAGTTTCTAGACATATCACAGCAGAAATTTGTAGATTTTTTAGACTTTCAAATAGCATAATTTAGGACCTTTTCACGCTTAATGAGATCTTTTGATGTTCTTAAACCAGGTGCTCCCATTTGATCTTTTCTCTCGTGATGGTATTATTTCACTTGAAAATAAATATTATAATTTTGATTATATGCACCTTTTAATCATACCGACAAAATTCTTAGCAAAGACGTTCTTACTACAATTTGATTTATGGTAAGAGTTTATTTGGCAAAAGAGTTGAGCTACTAAACATACTATATGGAATAAAATCACACCAGACCAGAAAAATTTACTTCAACCACAAAATATTAATGAAATACGTTCTGAACTTGCCTTGGTTCTACCAATTCTAAATGGAAACGGTATTTAAATTGTTTTTGTTTTGTGGAAAGCTGTTTGTGCCTTTGAGAAAAACATAGCAAAGTCCGTAATCAATATCCCCCAAAATCAATAACCCATTCCCCTATTGTATACTATAGTTACCTTGAAGCTTGACACAATAAGAAAACCTTTTTCCTAACACGAAACATAAAGAGGGGGGGGGGGGGTTTATCCGATGTCAGGTTGATTTCACAATTTATCCCGATAACAAAGTTTGCCGAGTAAGCTACAGTATAATCCGGTTATGACGTACTTTAAGGGACCAGCGTATTAAGTACGTTATATCCGAAGTACGTTGTAACGAGGGTAAGTAAAAATTGACTAAAACCAAGCACACCTTTTGCCAGGACCAAGTACACCAGTACGTTATATCCGAAAGTACGTAATAACCGAGTACGTTATAACGGGATTCTACTGCCAAGTAAAAAGCCAATTCATGACTCTTGAAGGCAGTCATAAGCCACCTTCATCCCGTAGCACAGCATGGACAGAGCTATTTGTTAAGCAGAGATAGTGGAGTTCTTACAGTTCACAACAGTATGTGCCCCCAGTTAAACAACTCCTTTGACAAACACATATAACAAAAAACAAGCAGGAAACGGAAGACGAGTCTAAAAAATAACCTGGTTTTCATATGAGAAGCATAATATCGAAAAAACCACAAGTATAATACAATGCAATTTTAAAAGGAAAAAATCTACCTTGATATGTAGTTGTAAAAGATAAAATCATAAAGTAACAACTGTTTTTTGCAAGGAATCCCATTTTGCAAAACTGACTCCATAAAATTGACATCTGTCCTTTTGAATAACTCACGAAAGCATGTAAGCAAATCGACGGAAGGGGATCCGGCAAGAAGAACCCATGCATAAGATGCCTCTTTTCAGGTCATTAAAAACAATTATTTCATCTCAGTATGTTGCAAGAGCTTATCATTGACAGGCTAGCTCTCTTCTTCCATATGAATGTCTTCCTTGTGCTTCTTCTTCGTCTTCTTGTGCCTGTGCTTTCTTTTGCCGGTGTCTCCATCTTCGTCTCCTTCTTTACGCCTGCTTTTCTTTTTCTTTTGCTTCGATTTGCTTTTTTTATGGCGCTCTTCTTCCACCTCGCTCCCATCCCGCAATTCACCTGCTTCTAAATCGTCATCTTCTATTCGCGATTTTTCATCAACACCATCTTGAACTTGAGCTGCTCTCGATTTTTTGTCTTTTCCTAAGCTCGAGCTTCGGTCTCTTTCCCTATTCAGAACAAAATCACAAACGATTATTTTTGTTGCTGGAGAAAAAATCATTAATTACTAATAATGAAAAACTTTTAATCATTTTTACTATTAGAAATGAAATCGTATTGAATATTTATGGATCTTGAGAGGGACAAGGAACGCGGAGGACTATTTCGTCAAATTTCATTCATATATTACAACAATTTAACATCAGTTCTTTACTAAAAGCCCATTAATATCGCCAACTTACAATTTTAGGAGACAAAACGTGTTTCTTGGATTTTTGAACTTCTGTTGATAAAGTTTCAATTTGATTGATAGCTCGATGTTAACATAATAAAACTTTCCAATCAACAAATTAACTTTTCCAGCATAATTAACGATTAAACTTGGATCCTCAAAGGCATTGAGTCATGGTAAATAGGCCTTCTCTATAGGGGGTCATTTGGTTTCGGCGTGATCGTTGCTGTTTCACGTGATATTGGCATTTTTGATTTTTCCAGACTGGCTTAGATTGTATGCTAGCTATCTTTAGAAACACTAAAAAAACTTCTATACTGAGCGAAAAATTGCCACTATTTTTTAAACCTAAAAAGATTAATAACGATTCTAAGAAATTAGCCGTACAACCTCTTCAACAATGCCTCTTAAAAAACTGTTCCTTCTTCACATAATTCCTCATTTTCAGCTAGTTTCTATATAACAAACATGAGAAATTGTACTTGCCTTTTCGACTGCAATTTCCTGTTATCATCTTCAGAGGATCTTGGCCGATCTTTGGAAGTGCTTTTCCTGTCATTCACATCTTTACCATTTTGTGCATCCAAACCATCATCCTCTCGGGGAATCTTCTTCTCGGAGTTGTACCTATCCTTACTATAGCTCTTTCTTTCTCTACTTTCCCTTGACCTTTCATTACTGTAACTCCTATGAGCCTTCTCTTTGCTACGGCTTCTCATGTCTCTGCCACGGTTTCTTCTGTCTCGGCTCAAACTCCTTCGCGTCCTTTCAAGGTCTCTGCTTCTGCTTCTGCTTGACCTCCTACCCGTACGCACCTTATCACCATGTTTTGCCTGCCTCTCTTTGGAAACAGCGTCTCTGCTACGACTTCTTTTCTCTCGACTCCGACTTCTTCTTAATCTATTTCTAACTCTTTCTTTACTCAGACTTCTTCTGTCACTTCTTCTTGACCTGTCACCACTGCGGCTTTGTCTATGGCGTGCACGTTCAGCACTGCGGCTACGTCTACGCGGGCTTCTCCGCCGTGGTGACCTTTCGCGACTTTTGCTTCGTCTATCTACGTTTCGACTTGGTCTTTCTACACTGGGACTTCTTCTTCTACGTGCTTCCCTTGGGCGTTCATCTCGCACAGAACGATCCCGACTTCTGCTTCTGTTAGAGAAAGGTAGGAAAATGTATTAAAGAATAAGTCAATACGTTTCACCAATAAGCCTTTAAAATTTCAAAAAGAGCTTCATAAAAAATACACAGAAGTTTAATGGCTAAAAATGCTGAGACATTAACAAGAAACCAAACTAGTAATATTCCACCAATTCCCTCCCTCTAAAATCAATGTTGTTACAAGAACGGTTGGTAATGCGTACTTTCTCACTTATACTGTAACCATCTCAATTAGCATTGACATCGAGCGACGGGGGTAAAGGTGCCTAGTGCATATCACATGCAGAAAACGCATTTATATAAAGACTAGGTAATTACCCAATAAAAAAATATGTTGCAGACATACCGATGATGCATTTTTGAATACTTTTCAGCTTCACCAAAATCAGCTTCACCCCTGAAATTGAGAGGAAACTCAACGATAAAACTAAACACGGACATTAAGATAGAAAACTAAAGCTGCAATTGTAAAACAAAGCATAAGGCAATCTGGTTTTAAAATCTGTTGCATTTGAAAAAGAGGGGTGCTACTGTATTTAAAATCAACGACCCCCAAAAAGGGATAATATTCGAGCTTTCGTGGTTTAAGTCTCAAACGGACAGCCAAAATGACTATTGTCTTCCTCCTTGTTAAAAAGATAGCCAAAATTTATTACCTTCTTATTTTACAAGAAAGACGTCAATTTATACCGTAAGTTTCTAACTATCTCCTGTCAGTTTTTCATAGAGCCAAACTCTCGTGCACCTAAATCAACAGCATAACAGAAAAATTCTAATAGGAAAAAGCAGCTTTGCAAAAAAGTCTTAATTAAAAATATTTAAGCTTGTGTTGCATGCTAGCAAACTGCGTTTTAGTGTTGAAATTCAGTTAACTAAAATTTGCAAAACGGAGTGCATCGTGCAATATACTGATACCATAGTAACCATTCTTAAGCAATAAATACAATATGATACCTGTGCATACCATATTTTACATTGATGAAACCAGGATACCGTATAGGCTGTTTTGTAATCCTAATAAAGTCAATCACATCATACTTCATACTGCTTGTCTAGCATATATCTATTTATCTATGCATTGTGTCAGTTTAAAAGCAATTGCAACTGGTTTTAAGATTGGCCACCCAAGTCATGGCTATGAGAATCAGGAACCTTCTCCAAATATGCAAATTATTTTTCAAATACCAGATAAGACTAGCTTTGTTTGACAACCACAACTTTAGTGTCACAACACCCCCTCTCTAGTAGGTACTGACAATACCCTGGTTAAATTTTGGCAAAAAACTACCAAAAAGGGCATTCCATTTACAAGCTACTTGTTTAACATGAGTAGTCTTTGCCCTTACTGTTTTATCTCTCTCAGTTTTTAACACCATTCAAATCAGCATGAAATAGGAAATTTCCAAACCAGCACCTGCAAATGTGAACAGCTGTATTTAGAAACACTCAACTTTGTTCTAAGCAGTTGTGAGAGGACTTTGCACTTTGTTGTATAAGGCATTATGAAGATAGGAGGCTTCATCTGTTGTCTATAAACATGACACATCAGCTAATTTGAACATTTAATGCCTTCTCTATCCGCAAGGCACCTTCTATTCACAAGTACTGTCTCATTCAAGTAACAACTTAATACGCTGATTGGTTTATTAAAATTTTTCTAGAGAAATGAGCCACTAAGATTGAAAGCTGTTTGCTTAGACTGCACCAAACTAATTTGAAACTAAAAACTGGAAAATCTGATAAAGACACCATGTTTAACAATAGCAAAAAGCATAAATTGATAAATTACATACCTAGGTAAATTTCATGTATTTAATTAATGAAATTCAGAACAATTTAGATTAAGTAATTGAACATATGTTTAAAAAACCAGAACACCAACAGCCTAAGAATAAAAAAACTCAACTTTACATCAGGGTTGGTTTTCTTTTATTGGACAAGGTAACTTGGTAATTTGTATTTTGCAGCATATAAAATTTTAGAAGAAATGAAACCCCAGACTGGAAATCCTTTTGAACAATTATTATTCATAAATATTAGTATTTTCCAAGATTCTTTCTAAATTTCGACATAAAGAAAAATATATATATCACTTAGAATAATATATATAAAGAACATAAAGAAGACGTAAAGACATAGAGACATAGAGAGAGTTTTTGAAAACAATCATTAATTTACAGTACCAAAACAAAACCAAGAATAAAAAGATTGAGTGGGCCTTACCTTGTTCTATATTCCCCATCTTCTTCCCGTTTTGATTTGGCATAGCGCTCAGCCTCCCCCCAACCTTCATCAGCCTTCCTCTTGTGATCATCACAAAGATTCAGCTCTGTCAGCCTCTCTCTAATGTCTTTCTCAACAGGCACAGGGATCCTAGGAAATAGCGTCCCATACCATTCCAATTTAAGTAAAAAACTACGGACAAGTTGTCCAATTGTCATTGTGCAACCCCCACCAGCCTTAACATCCAGTTCCTACGAAAGAATAAAAAGTGATATCTAGATGATATAATATGCTAGGGCTAATGATATACAACTGAAACTAACATTGAGCAAATAAAAACACGAGTGAAGCATAAAAATTGTTGCTTTTTGATGCAGCCATTTTCAGTGAAAAATATTTTCTTCAAAAAAAAATAAGTAAACAGACTGCCACAATAAAACTCCTTCTGGTCTAACTAATCACAAAGTTCTTTATTTATGAACATGAGTTGAAAATCACCCAAACCTCTTTCATATCCACGCACCTCTTCATCTTCTAAATAAGGTTCCAGCCAAGACCAAAGCTCTTTTGGTTGAAGGCAATACCTAAAATAAGATGAATCAAAACACTAGAATTTTGCTACTCAATTTTTTAAAGACAGTTTTGTGAGATTCCTCTCCCATGAAAAACTTGGTTAATTGGGAATATGTTTGTTAATACCCTTCCAAAAGCATTGAATTCTTATGAGCAAATCTTCCATTCTGCTTTCTACTTATTCTGTGCCTTAACTTGACACACTCAGAATAAATAATATTTTAAATTCTTTGAAAACAGTAGCTTTAAGACTGTTAGAACTAGACATGGATCAACACAAAAGGTTTATATTACAAAGTTAGGGTGCAAATCAAATGTTACAAAGGAATCAATGATACTCAGACATTCTGATGAATTTGTTACCTGATGTACATAAACCCTATTCCTCTAATGTATGGGGAATCGCAGTGATCAATCAATCCTTTCAGTTGCTTTCTTGTTAGTTTCAATGTAAACATTTTGAAGAGCAGACAGTAGCATGAAGAAACAATACCACCAGCTCCTACACCTCGTACCTCAAAAAAAATTTAAAAAATTTTGCTGTCAAAACATATATAAAAGGGTATATATTTGTATTTTTTGAGTAAATTATGACAAAGACTCTTTCATTTCATCACTTATTCAGCTGATAATTGCCCAAGATCATTTTTTAAAAAAAATTCCTTTAACTTATGGGTTTTCTACATGAAATGTCAAGTTGCTAATGAAAACAAAGTATTTTGCTTCATTATTCACAATTGGTATCATTACATGAAAGAGTTTGTTTAAAAACGGCCCATAATCACACAGAAAGCCAAAGGTCAGGCAGTCATTGGCAGATGGTACCCAAAAAACCCCCTCAGGCTTTGGAGGATTCCTTCATCAAACATTGCTGGATGAATGATCACCCTGATAAGATCATCCATGTGGGTAATTTGTCACCCTTGGAAAAAAAGGTTTCATCACATAGTTAAGCTGATTTCCTCAATTATACATCAATAAAATATTTCCTGAGATTTTGGCAAAATCAAAATTAAGATATTTAACTTAATATCTGTGAGCCTGACTGTGATGTGTTGATCATTGATTTTCCTTTACACCACATTTAAATTATTATCTAAGGTAGACAAACACAGCTTCATTGCAATCAGGAATATCTTCATATACAAATACTGTAGTTAACAGTAGCTAAATAATCATTACTTCTTTTATCCTTAAGTAAACATTTGGTACCTTGATGTTTACTTGATACTTAAAGCAACCTTTTAATATTTGCATTAGCATTTGTGCATTTAATAACAAAGTTCTTTCCACAGTGTTACTACTGGCAACAAGAGAACAATAAAATTTTCATTTGCTTAAGAGCAACAAGCTACTGACTATACTTAATCACAAGATTTGTAAAAATTTTTCTTGCACTCTTTGCATTTTCACAGACCTTACAAAAACTGGGTATGGGGTTAAAGGTGATTTGAAGATTATAAAATGTAGAGTAATTCATTCTTGAGCAACTGGGCAAGTTAGCTACCGAGCACTTAACATTTTCGGTTTTTATGAAGAAAACGCCATTAGTAAAATGAAAGAAAATGAAATCTTCTTCTCTGCAAGTCCAGAAATATCAGTGACTATCAAAATTTCTTGCAAATAGTCTCTCATCTAATAAGGATATCTTTGGAAATACAAAAACTATCATGGAAAATTGATCCTTTAATTTTGAAGACAAACTCACCCCTCCACACATTCCAACTTGACCAGACGTCTTTCTACTTCCTTTTTCCCACGGTTCAAGATGACTGACCTGCAAAGCAACATGTTATAGTTGCAATCAATAAATTAAAACTTCAAATTATTATAAAAAAGCTTTATAGAACAAAATAACAAAACATCTAGTAGGGTGGTGCCACTCACAAATTTTTACTTGATTAGTACCATTATCTTTTCCTGCCATCTGCCACTATACTCATGGTTGAGCTTTTTTCAACAAGATTATCTTGTTTGATCATAATGCCAAAAAATGACTCAGAAGTTGATCGAGAAACATTTCTCTTCTTGCTCAGGCTTCAAATAAGACCTGGTTACATTGATTTACTCACAAACTTAAACTTAGCAATTAACAAGAGACTGGTCTCTAGCAATCACCAATGTAATTAACAAGTATTTGTTTTTGTATTTGTTTACAAGCTCAAACCTGTATGGCAAAGCCATCCCAAACAACCTTGTCTTTACTATCAAGGTGTTTCTCCCAAGCTGCAATAAAGATGCAGTTCATCTATCGTTAATGGAACATTCAAGGAATTATTTTAGATGTTAAAAGCCCATCATTTCTCTTCTCAAGTTGATATTAGCCCACTGCACCAGACTGGAAACTTTGTTTCTTGCGCGGGCAAGCTTACGCACCTGACTGCGCAACTGCGCCCCTGAAATCACGTCCTTTTTGGAAATTTGTATTGTAATTAATGTGAAATGTATTCAAATAGGGACTTTGCGCGGCCAAAATGCAAAAGTGTGCAGATGGAAAATTTGAGTGTGCTGGCAATATATCGCGGGCACGCAACAAAGTTTCCAGTCTGGCCACTGCACAAAGATGATCAAAACTCAAGTCCAGACACTGTCCGTGGATGTTTGCACATGTAAAATTCAAGTGAAAAATTGTTGGATAGAAACTCTATATTTGGAACAACAGAGAAAATTTTCACAACTGAACTTTTTCTAATGTGGGAAAAATATTTGAAATCGTGCAAAGAAAATCTACTGGCAAACTTTCCTCCAGTCTCTAGTTTGGACCAGAATCTTCTGCTTTTTGCCAATAAACAACTTTTAAGACATCGGAGTTAAATATCACACTTGTGTGCTCTTGATTTGAATGAAAACAAAATGCAGTTCCTTTCAGATACGGGGCTTTTTGGTAACGACTGTCTTCTTTCTTAACTTCAGTCAGTAGTTAAGGTTCCCGGCATAATCCGCCATTTTTATCGTATGGCAATGACCTGTATTCATTGAAATGGCTTTATAGTAACGCTAAATTCAAAGAGAGAGCTAAAGAGGAAAACGATCGAGTAAAAGAAAAAATTGAACAAAAAAGAAGCGCGGCAAGTAGGCCTTACCTTATAATAGATTTCATCAACCACTTCATGATATGTTTTCAGTGTAAAAAGGTCAGTCTTAAAATAAGGCGATGACAGGATATTCGTATGAATCATATTGTTTATATTCATGGTCATTGCATTGCCCCATGTCTGAATAGCGTTGCCTTGTTTCTTCTTCCGATTTTCACTATCTTCGACGTCCATTTTGAAGTGTAATAGCGCCTTCAGAATTTTGAAATGCTTCATGTAAATCAGTATTGCATTTTACATGGAAAAGAGGTCTTTCCCATGATGGCTGAGAAGATGGCGGCGGCGAGGCTCAGATCAGCATTTGCCCAGTGCAGAAGACCATTGCAGAAAGGTATCTAAATTCAGGTGTTTTTAAAACAATTATAACACAAAACTTTACAATGTATGACACTGTCACCACCAAATTCAAGGGTTTTTGTTCACCTGCTCTTCCTTCCTGAATGAAAGCACTTTCCTGTGAGCGCAACGAGGTTCTTCCATACATAACAAGAACCGGTGCATTCACAGAACATGCACAATTAGTTTTCCGCCAATTCGCGTGGATTTTTTGCGTGCAACCAATATAAGGTTTAAAAGAAGCTCTGCACAAGGAAAACTTGCAAGTTGCAAACATTATGGGGCCCTTTGAAGATAAATGATATCCCCAAAGCGACATGAATAAGAGTCACCAAATGTCCTTTTACCACTACCAGCACAACATAACAAAGCATGAAAAACATACAAAATACTGTAGTGATGGCTAGCAGTCTGTTACAGATCGTTGCAAAGTTTCTTGTCGTTGTTAGTTAATGTCTTGTTAATACTCTTGAAGAATATGCAAATTGACATTGAAGGCCACACAGGATGGGAAGGAAACCAAGCATTTATAAATCAATTCTTTTAGGGTCTGGTTAACAAATCTCTGCACCAGTAGACAGACAAAAAGGAACAATTTGCATTTCTATCAAAATTAATGCTGATATTATTACAGTTATATCTTCAAAATACTGAATTCTGTTTCTTGGTCTGACACTGGAAGAACCAAACATAATTAATTGGTCTTTCATCTAAAAACATTGTCTGTTTTATTTCATCACAACTTCATGATAATTTCTAAAGATAGTAATTGATTGTAAATATTGCCTGTTCTCTACTATTTACGTTTTCATTTTCTTAAGGTATACATATGCAGAGATGCTTTTCATCTGCTGCAGTTGAATTGGATTCAGTTGATCCCAGAGACAAAGGTATGAAACATGTTTTTTCCTTGAATGATGACAGTATATTTATTAATTTATACACTTGTGGAGCAGGTTCTTGTGTTCCCATTATTTTTACACCAATTGATTCTATAAAACCCATGACAATAAGCTGAATGTAACCATTAATGAAGTTTAATTTAACAGTTTTGCATGTTTAGGTCTAAATTTTACCTGTCTGTTAATATTATGGTGATGTTATGCTAAGTGACCCTAAACAGAGTAAACTTTACTTTATGGAATGCTAAGTGTCAATTCTATGCAACAGATAAATAGCAAAACAGTCCCCCTCAATGCTTTTGTTTTGTTTTTATTCTTTATAAATGGTATCTTACCAAGAAAAATTGCTTGAGGATCACATTCTGATATTTTTTATGCATGTTCTTGTTTGTGTATGTAACATTTTAACATTAGTAAACTTCAGTAATTATTATTATTATGTTTAGCTAGATCTTTGATTATGTTACGTGTTAATGTCACATGTTTGTTTGTCGCGCTGTTGTGTTAGTAACTCCCTTTCCGGGAAATGTGCGTCACTGTCATCGTGTTGTGTGATGTTTCACAGTGTTCCTTTGTTTGTGTTTTAATATAATGTGATCCAACTTAGAATATTTTAGTCTTCCTGTTTTTTTTACACAATCATATGCTAATAAGGTTTTTTTCTGTCTAAAAGAGCAAGCAGAAACATTTCCATTAAAAACTTGTGTTCCAAAAAGACATAGAAGTTAATTTTTAAGTAGCACCTTACTATTTTCAGATACCAAAAATATGCTGAAAAGCAAGGATTTCTTTGATGTGAAGTCTCTAGTCAAACTTAGTGATTTGTTCAATGCAAGAGTGCACTTAGGACATCATGAAGGATGTTGGAATGGTCACATGAAGCCATATATTTATGGCTCAAGAGCACATCATCACATTATCGACTTGAATAAAACAATAAATCATTTGCAGGTTGGTTGTTTTACCTTAAGTAGGATGAAAAGATGTCAATTCAGCTCTGTTTATTTTTCCTTGACAATGTCTTTCTTTAATAAACATACATTTATGGCTCATGTGCACATTATCACATTATAGACTTGAATAAAACAATAAATCATTTGCAGGTTGGTTGCCTTAAGTAGGATAAAAAGATGTCAATTCAGCTGTTTTTTTCCTTGACACTGACTTAAACACCCTGGCACTTAAAAAAAGATATAAACATTTGTGTTCCTGCTTATTGGGGTGCTTAAAAAAGAAGGCTCTTGTTGCTATGTTGAATAAAATGCCTTTTCTGAAAAAAACTTTTCAAAACTTTAGTTTAACAGAATTTATCATCTGAACTAAATTTTCATCACTTATTACTTAGCATTAAAACTAAATAACCTAGAAAGACATTTTTGCAATAGTTTCACAAATATCCTTCTTTTAAAACCATTTTGTGTTAAAGGGTTCTTATACGTTTATTATTTTGAAAATTTTATTGTTTTTCAATGGTTGGTAGCTGGTAAAAAGAGCATGGCCCAACTCACTGTCCAATTACTGAAAATTAAGGCCATTCGCCCTTGCAAATAGCACCAAATATGTCCATTGTTTTTATAAAAGTAAGCTCAGAGACAGGCGACCTTGGGGTTTTGTCTTACTGTTCAAAACTCCTCAAATGATGCTCTGCTTCTAAACTTCTGCCTTAAATAAAATTGTACCATTCCAGCCCGAATTCTGTAAGGATTCAAATCACAGTATTGTGGAATCTGTTTATATTTTAGCCAATAAGAAGAAATAATATAATGTTTCAGTTATTGTTTTTAGATGAAAGATTGTATTATCTTCTTCGTCATTATTGTCTAATAGTTTAAAACTTCTCTCTTCCTGTCTCGTTTCTGTTTATTTGTTTGTTTGTTTGATTGTTTGTTTGTTTGTCACATAGCTTTTTGTTTGCAAATTATATATTTCTCTTATTTAGATTTTTTTCAATTTTTCAACAGGTCGCACTGAATGTCTTATGTCACGTGGTTTATCGAAACGGAATTGTTTTGTTCCTTAATACTCATCCTCGTTTTGAATATCTATACCAGAAAACAGCCCGTGAGGCTGGTGAATATTGCATTACACAGAAGTGGCGTGGCGGAACTCTTACAAATGCTGCAAAACTGCTTGGACGCGTGAGGTTACCAGATCTTATAATTACTTCAAGTATAAACTCATTTGGCGAAAATTTGTTACCTCTGAAAGAGGCTGCGATGTGTAATATCCCAACAATTGGTATTGTAGACACTGATTGTGACCCAAGGCTTATAACTTACACAATCCCTGGGAATGATGACACACAAGATGCAATGGAGCTTTACTGTCATCTTTTTAAGACTGCTATACTCAGAGCAAAAGAATTGAGAGACAAAATGTCATAGCTCTTGTGGTTCAGTTTTCTGAAAAGCTCAACACGTTTCAGACAGATAAGGTAAACTGTTTTATTACCATGGATATTAATTAAATGAAAAGCGAATGTAGTTTATTATGATTGATACTTGAACAAGTCTACTGAAAAGGGTTGCAATGGGGCAGTTTCCCTAAGGTCATCCATGGTGATGGTAGAGTATATTTCATGTGTCGGTTTGAGCTGAGATCAACATTTTGGTTCAGGAAAAAGAAAATATCAAAGTAATAATATTGATGCAATTAAAAAAATCCACCTGTTTGGCTCGTTTATAACGCAGAATTTGATGGATTTATCAGTAATACTTTCACCTCATCCAATGGAAGAGGATCCTACGTTACAGGGCTCTCGGGTGGGGGAAGGTGGGGGTTGGGGGGGGCTTTGATGTGGCTTTGGGAGGTGTGCATAAAGAAAAAGTTGAAATCCACTAGACAGTTCAGTAAATGGTTACCATATGGGGATACTGTAGAAAGCAAAAAGCTTCAATTACCACCTCGTAATATCATCAGAGTTGTTCAGAGTAAGAATGTCAAAGTTTCAGCTTATTAGTTTTGAAAAAGGATAAACATCTTTGATGACTGTTTCTTGAATTCACTGCGATGTATTGATCACAATCAGTGGCATTTGCCTTCTTGCACCAGTTGATGAAGTACCGTAAAAGCTCTATTAAGCTCCCCTCTCTATTAAGTATCCACCCTTATCAAGCAAAACATTAGATAAGCCCCCCTATCTATTAAGCCCCCCTTCAACCTTTGATGTCAAACGTAGATAATATTTCAGTTTATTTGCTCTTTTCTGAATTTCAATCAAATTAATTTCATTGGATTTTGTCTTATAAGCATAGGTAGGAGATCGACTGAAATATTTGAGTCCAGAAAACATCACGGTTTCACGGTCATGAACCGTATAAAGGTTGTCCAACGATGCAATAGTTTTAGGGAAAATCAGTGACAAGACTATATAAAGTGCAAGGAATTTACTTTTTTGCTTGAACTTTTATTTTTTCTGGCAAAGCGTAAAGACTAAACCATAGATAATTGTTATTTTTTTTTCTATTTCTAAGATACTGTTTTAAACGATACAAGAATAATTTTTTTAAGGGCAAATATTGGAAAGTTTTATCTGGAGGAGGATTGAGCCGTTTTTTGAATTCTGGTTTAATAAATGCTTGAGAGAATAAGATTCCGGTCCATTACATGATGCATGATTCCCGTCCATGTTTTTCATTTGAAATACCCTCGCCTAGTGGTCTCTCTGTTTAGATCAAGCAAGCCATCCTTACTGCAAAACCTAAAAAAGGCACCATATATAGAGTCCAGGAAACATGGCGGTGACATGGCAAACAACCGTGTCAAAAACCAATGAAAGCTAAGGAAGATTTTCAGAGTTTCAGAATTTTGTCCGGAGGAAAAATTAACACTTTTCTGTTTGAATACAAAGATTTTTTTGCTCGACACACTTCAAAATATGAAACATGCCACAAAAACCTAAGTGACAAGAGATGAAAATTACTGTTTACTGGTCTGCCATAGAGTGCTCCTTGCCGTTTAGGCAGAGCTGTACACGCAAATTGGTTTAAAGAAAAGGACTATTCCAAGTTGCTACTCCAAGTTTCAAGTTTAATGCGATCATCAAGCAACTAAGCGACAAGAGTTTTACTTCCGGGTGCAGATCGAAATTAACATTGTTGGATTGGTTCCTTAAAATGATATGAAGCGTTTGATTGGTTCCTTGTTTCAACCAATAAGCGAACACCAACCCTTATATAGTTGATATGCTCAAAACAGAAATGAAACTCCTTTCTCTCTTACAGATCGAATAAACCTAATTGCAACAATAAACTAGCTTAAGTTATTCCATCACATCTAGTTTCATTTTACGATTTAGATTCGATTTCAAAGAAAGTGTTCTTCAGGTTTCTATAATATCAACTCTGTTATATATTAATCATAAGTTAACTTTATATAAATTATAAACTCAATTTCCATGTGACATGGTATATTTGTGTTATTTAAAACTAGACCAATTAGCCATCAATTTTAACATAAATACTCTCCTTATCAACAAAACTTTAAATTGCATTTGTTCTACATTCATTAACTGCTTGTTTTGAGCTTGTCAGCGACAGTTCTCTGAAATGTCTAAAACAGAAAAAAGTACTAAAATCAGAACTTTATTGGCACATAGTGTATTGGACTAATATTTGACAGCGTTATGATCAGCCCGCTCTTTGCATCTTTAATTTAAAAATGGCCTTGAAAAAAGTAAACATTTAGTAAACTAAAGCTTTTCGTCTGACACTCTTCAGAGTTTAAAACGTCAGAACATAGACCGAAAACTCTACGTTAGGAAAAATATACCCAGTTGTGGATCGAAATAGGCCAATCAGAAACACGAGCACATGACTGTCAGAGTTTCAAACTCTGAAGAGTGTCAGACAAAAAGCTTTAGTTTACTAAATGTTTGCTTTTTTCAAAGCCATTTTCAAGTTTTGTACCACCAAAAGATTGTTTGCATCTTTAATTTAATAACTTCTATCTTATAGATTTAATAAAATTTGATAAAATTAACTTCTATCTTGTAGAAATCGTTTCTAAGCACTGTAATACCTTATCTTTTCATATTTTCTTCATTGCTTAAAACATTTTGCAGCTGAGAGACAGACACTCTCTTATAGTTTATAGAGTGAGTCTGGTATCCAGGGTAATATGATGCCTGCCCAAAATACTTGGGTATCCAAAACATCAAAAAGCTTGAGTAATATTTTTATATATTTCGTTTATTTTCCCGAATACTACTCCTTCTGTTCCCCCTTCCGTCCAGAACAAAGTTGAAAGCTTCAGCACATATCATCCAAGCGAAGGGGGAGAGGTAATGTTCAAGGTTGACCTTAAAAACTGATGTTAGGGTTCTCTCAATTTTGGCGGTGATCATATGCAAGAGTTTTGGATACCTGTAAGCATCTTTCTATTGCGACTAGATGGCTGTATGTATCCAGAGCACTTTTGGAAACATCCAACTCCGTGTCCTGCTCTTTTGTAGATATTTTGGTACCAAGTCCAACAGAATATTTGGGAATATTTTTCAACTGGTAGAGCTTTGCCTGAAAATTAAGGGCAGTCATGTAAACGCTATAGTGACAAGATATATGTCATTGAACTCAGAAGTATCATAATTTAGTGTAGAAACTCAGGTTTACTTATCATAAACAATTGTAAGAGACGATAATGAATTGAAACTATCTCGTAAATTTCGTTACCAATTCTCGAATTTTTGAGAGAAGATCTCGAAGGTCGAACTCAAGTTTCATGAACTTTGTGGGCGAAACGGCTTTTGTGTTTCCAGTGACTGCTTTGCTTGCAACCTTGTTGGATTTCTCTAAGATTGCTTCTTCGTGCATTCGATGTCCTTCTGTCAACTGCATGCATTGGATGTCATCGATGTGATTTTGTAAAATATCAAGAGTTGTCACGAGATGCTTTCCACACTGTACAAACAAATTTTGTTACTTTTTCTTTATTGTTAAAGCCGTGAATGTTCTTAAGAGTCAAGAAAGGCTTGCCTGGCTGCCAACGTACATAGGCAAAATACAACGTACAACGTACATAGGCCCATTTTGTATTTTAGGCCTTTTTAGGCCCGTTTGAATGTGCATCACGCAAATCTCTATACACAAAATTCTACACCATTCTAAACTACGACAGAAGCTGTTTGAATTGCAGATCTGCTGACAAACTGGCAGCATGATTTTTAGAGTGAATTTTTCTGCTTACGTTTGTTGACGTATTTTGACACAGAATAGAGATTACATAATCTAATCTCTATTCTGTGATTTTGATGAGATAATTTTAATGGAATTCTTTCCAAAAGGTATGGTCAATATCTAATCGATGTATCAAGAGGTAAACCCTAAATGTTTTATTACATTATCTCGTATATATATATAAAAGGGGGCAGTGCAATTACTACATGTTTGAGATTTGAGGTTGTCATAAATTATGACAATGATGAGAGACTTCAAGACATACTAATAAACCAATGTGCAAACCGTTTTTTTGATCGGCTGGAAATGGTCTTTCAGCTTCCTTTCAGCTTTCTATAAAAAATGGTTTATTCAAATTAGAAGTTTATAATCAAAAGGAATCAACCTCTATTTAACATGAAACTGAATTTGAAATTGATAAGTGTCTTGGTCTTTGGTGAGTGAGCCACATTAGTCAGAAGGGGCGGGGGAGGGTGCTACACGTGGTGCCGGCGTTTTTTCTACATGAACAATGTACAAAACTGCCGGCAGTAAAATACTAAATGAAAGTGAACTTATCTAGGAGGGTTTTCGGCAGTTTTTTAAAATTGCCTAAACCTTCATCCGGATGAAATTTGCCTTCCTCAAGATTTCCTATGTATCTATCGAAAAAAAGTTCCTTAGAATGGATTTAAGTAAAATCATCTATGGTTTTGACAGGCTAAAAGTAAAGCTCAATCACAACGATAAATTCGTCTCACTTTATTTACTCTTGTCAAGTTATGCATTGGCCTTCCTCAAAACTGCTGCATCGCTTGATAACCCTTCTTCCGGTTCGCAGCCTTGGAACTGTAATGTTTTCTGGATTCTGGTTTTTCGGGTTATGTATGTCCGATTGAGAAATTAATTTTCGCTAGGCGTTGATTGTTTTTACTTATCTACTTTTCTAAATAAAAATATACTATTTTTAGAAGCCCATGAAGTTCCAAGGCCGTTTGGGAAACCGAGAGAGGGTGACAAATGGAGGCTTTAGCGTTATTGCTCCATCGTGCCACAACATCTGCATTTGTTTTAAAGTCTCTTGCGCAACCGGCATGCTTAGCGGCAGTTGTCTTGAGAAATTGACTGTTTTGTATTTTCATGCGGTATTATATTAGGCCGGTTTTGAAACTATAGTCGCAAAGCATGCCGGTTGAGCAAGAGCCTTTAATTTTGTAAGCAGTCATAAAGAACAAGAATATTTTTTTGAAGTTGACTTCTACATGACTGCCGCATTCAGATGCGACATCAACAAAAAAGTACTCACAAAGTCTCTTCGCAGATTTTTGACATATAAAAGTAGCTTTCTTGTGTTCCCATTTACGTTTGTGAGTGATTTCCATACATTTCCTTCCCGCGGAATTCTGTTGTCAATAACAGCATCAGAAAACATGAAGCATTGACAGAATATGATCGAGAGGACTCCAATTAGGCCTAAGGCAGAAAGACAATTCCTGGGATCAGTTGCTCTGTTAGTGTTTTTAAGAGTGAGACAAGTTGTTTCCTTATCCCTTTGCAAAAATATTCAAAAGGCTCTAAGATAATTTGCGTTTCTGTGGTCAAATTGTTACATCTTTCTTCAGATGTTAAGGCTAAAAGCCTTGTTTTGTCTTGGGTGATTAACCCGAGAAGAATTGCAGTCATCGTAATAGACAGTTATTCTAAGGCCTAAGAGCTATGTCAAGTTTCAAAACACTTAGAACCTAACGAACCTATGACAGGGGTCACCGCGGGTGTTGTCTTGGGTGTAGTGATTTGGAAAGAAAGAATGGGGCTCTCGCAGAATATCTCAAAAGGCAATCACTGGAAGTGAAATTTGGTCAAAGCACCCTTGGGATTAATTCCTTTAAAACGTGGTTTTCAGGTAAATGAAGGATAGAGTTTAAGACGAAACAAGAGGGAGTTCGAAGATTCAAGCATTTATTTTTATGTTTGTGCTAACAGGATTAGACACGGACTGGTTATTCTTGAATCAAATTCTTAGAAAAGAATCAAGGAAACGTTTTCGAGAATAGTATCTTAAAATAATAATGTTCGATGACACAAAGTTTACAAAAGAATTTTCACCGATTCCTTCAAACATCATTTAATGGTCATGGAAGCCATTTATAGTATGTAGTTATAGAGAAAACAATGCTGAAATAACACTCTAGCCTCCAATTATCAAGAAATTAAAGCATCGGGCAAAATTATCTGGCTGTTATAAGAAAAAGTCTATATCTGTGATGAACCCAGTTTGATTCGTTGATAGCAAAAAATTGTATAAAAATGCTACGATTTTGACTCACCTTCCATTTCTAATGATGTTCCACTTGTGATCTTTACCTCTTAGACGTTGTAGTATTCTGTCGATGCAGTAGTGGGATGTCATTTTATATGTGAAATAGTTGGGAAGACCAGTTAGGGGTAAAAGTATCGAAACCACTCTAATTCTAGTGGCTTGAGTCGAAAGAGAACAAGAGGGCACAAAAACCTCCTTGTAGACATGCTCTAGACAATGGATCAGAATCTATAATCAATGCTGTATAATGGATGCAATCAAATTAAACACAAAAGGGTTCTGAGAATTAGGTGTTTCGTAAAACCGGACCATGAATCCATGTCAGCCACAAACAAAGCAGTTTGTTGTCCCCATTATAAAACTGCATCTGAAAGCAACTCTTTCAGAGCACAAACTAAAGGTTCTGCACCTGGATTTTTGCCATTTTACCCCCAATCGAGATTTCCTTACATTTATCATCCTGACAGAAGTACCGGGGTTTCTGCAAAATAAAGTTACTCACGAGTTTTGAAAACGAAAGGAACTCCAGTGAACAATACTGAAAATTGCTATATAATTTTAAGGCGAAAACACTTCATTGAATGATTGTTTGAAGATGTTTGATAGGAATTTTGTTTCCTGAAATATCTTAAACCATGTCGTAATGTGTTTTGTTGAATTTGAAAAACACTCAAAAAAAGACATGAGAGATCATTGTCGCAGATTCATACACTTTGCGAATTGCTTTTCCCGAATTTAATCTGTCGCATTATTCGAACACAAACTGAATGTCACCCGGTGTTTTCATTTTTATTTCCGCATATATCTCATTACCCCAAAAAGCCCCTCTAAAAACCCCCTCTAAAAACTATCGCTAGACTTGAATGCTCAACCGTTTGCATAATGTACAAGAAAAGAGACTCAGAGATATACAATATTTTAAGAAATACATTGATAAATTCTGAAACACTATGACTCTTTAATGATACTGTTTAAATAAAACAAACCATTTGAATTACTTCGTAAAAATTTAGTTTTTTGGTATGCTTTTGCGAAGAAGTCTACAAGCTGGGTCAAAAGAACGTCTAAGAGAGGGTATAACTTAAAAGGTACGAAATATTACCACAGCGGTATAAAAACAATAGCGAATGTTTCAATCACACAAACGAACACCACCAAGGCAAATTTCTTCTGACAAGAGGGTATCTCTTCGATTGTTAGCGTTTGGAAATTTAGGGAAACAAAAAAATCTCTGATCTCTGTGTTTATGCCTAGATCTGTGTTTTCAATCCTGGTGCTACCTTCGTGATAATTTTTGACACCAAAACACCACTCTTCGTTGTTTTCAAAGGCAATATTTCAATATGTTCCAAAAGGAATGGTACTGATTTTCCGAACTTAATGAATTAGAATCATAGTTTCATTTCTGAGTTAAAACCACACCTTTATCTACCAATTTTATATGTTCTAAATATTTATGCTTTTATTTGTTAATAACATTTTTGGAACTCTTGGCTTAAATTTTTGGTGCATTCTTTTTGGTTTTGGAATAACTTGCAACAATTTTGGGGGAAATTAGGATTATTCACAATATGTCATATGCTACATAAAGATATTTTTTGCAACATGAAAACTAAAAACTATCCTATTCCTTTTTTGCAATTTAACTGCAGTTGAGGTAACAGGATGAAGTTTCAAAGTAGATTCAATTTTTAATTTAAATGGCACGTGAAGTGTGCAGCTGGTCAGAGCAACTCATGGAAATAGTTGAGTTTAAAGTATATTATCCTTTTTTCGCAAGCTGTTTATGTTTTACAATCAATGCATTTTTAGAAATACAATACATCTTGTGAGTAGTTGATTGCCAAAATCAAAAATGTATTATATCTTATGAGCAAACACAACTTTAAGGATAGCCAATGAAATTGTATATATCAACTCTAATAACGAAGCAATGGTTTAGAACAATAGGGCAGTGGGAGGATGCTGTATTAGCTCTCCCACTTGAAATTGCCAACAAAGTTTCCACTTACATAAAAAATGTTCAAGAGATCTGCAAAAATACTTTAAATTTAACTATTTTCATGAGTTGCTCTGACCAGCTGCACACTTCATGTGCCAATTAGATCTTGTTCATTAGTAACAGGTTTTTTATAACAAGATGCAAAAGCCTTCCATTGCATGGAGGTTGGAGGTTGAATGGAACTTGAATGCTTGGTGACACATATTTACAAAGCCATTCTGATTGCATAATTCTAAAGTACATAATTCTAGATTTCAAAACATAAAATATACCACTATCTATGTTTGATTTTTCTTTCCAAGGCTTCTTTGTGCAGCACACCTCCCCAGAGGGCTGCAAAAAGATCCCTACAAAATAGAAGCAAAACAGGCCTTTAAATTTCTTTGGGGGAAACTCCATATAAAAATGTGATAGGTAATTTTTTATAATTATTACTTGTAAGTACAATATTGAGTTAAAATTTCAAATGCCTAAAAATAAAACTTTTAAGTCAATCAACAGATAATAAAGTGGCTTAAGCCACCTGTCAATCAAAATTGATCAGTCAATAAGCTTAGTATCACTCACACATGCAATTTTTCTGAATCATCATCATTGCTCCATTAACATTTTTAGTTCAACGAGAGATGTAGTACAGAATAGAGGAATCCCCAAGAGGAGGACTACCTAGCTTCAGCAGTAATTTAAACAGATACTCCTATTGGCTGCTTGTAATAACTGATGCCTGATATTGTTTTTGAGACAGCACATCAAACTTAAGGGCAGCAGCTGCCTGTCAGCAAATTGTAAATCCCAACTGCAAATTATCTAGCTAATAAGCCAAAGCACAAAAATTAGTTACCTTTCCTCGTCAAGTGCATCCCTAAGTGACATGTCATCTGCATTTACTGATATTTGCTTCATAGTTTGAACAACTTTTGGGTGTGCATGCAAGAAGCCTCCACCTTGCAGCCAATCAACACAACATGCAGTTACATCCTGACAAAAAGTTATAATCCATACTTCAAATTGACAGTCTTTGAGGCCCACAAACATATTTAGCCATATATTTCTTAGATTTTTTTCACTGATAATTTCCCATTGCATAAACATAAAGACAAAAATAACATAAAGATGTAATATGCATATATAAAAAAGCTTTTATACTGGAAAAGTCGTTGTAAAAGAAGTTAAATACCTCTTTTCTATCTAGCAGGGCATCCGCAAGCCCAAGTTTAATGGCCTCTTCATACTGCATGATTTTTGCAGTGGTCAAAAGTTGTAAGGCTCTGCGCTTGCCAACAATCTTCACTAATCGTGAGCCTCCTCCCCATCCAGTTGATATGCCAAGTTTTGACTGAACAAAACCAATCTCTATATTAAATAGAAAGAAAAAGTGACCAACTTAAATCTTAATATATTGATGTCAGAAATAGTACATAGTACAGGTAATAGTACAGAAAGAAAGAACTGAATATAATTCATCTTTTCTCACTTTTGCATTTGTACACTGTATTAATTTTCTGTACAACATGATATCAACTTTTTGTACTATTTTATATCTATGTGATTCAGTTATTTGTTTTTAATGTAGGGTTATAAATTGTATATAGAGAATTTAAATCATAAGAAACTGAAGTGAAACTGAAAGAACACATTAAGAACACAAGCCACCATTTTTCCTGAAGAAAGCCCACAGATCTATTCATGTTGTTTCTTGGACTTCAAAGAGGAGGTTATTGAGTATAAAAGTTTGGTTAAGAGAAAATGAAAAGGCCCTTGTCCCAGAGAGTGGGAAATGGTATTACTGGTAGAACAAAGTGGCAAAGGGAAAGAAAATACTCTGCTATATACTTTACATACTGGGCTGGAATTAGGTACAACAAACCTGCATTATCTGCCATAAGCCTGAAGTCACAAGCAGTTGCAAGCTAGAAAATAAATTTTGTTTAATGAAATGAATTCTATGATCCCTAAAAAGTTTTTTGAAAGGCAGGTTGTGAATTTAGCTGAAATGTTAAGTTGATGCCAGCAATCAAAAAAGAGGGACCAGTAGCTAAAAGAGCAACAATCTTGAATAAATGAAGAATGTTTTCCAGGCAGGACTGCAAAACAGATATGTTATGCAAACGTTCCATATTTGAAAGACTAGCATGGAAAAACATGATGTGCATAATGTGTTGTGTAAAAATTTTGGGTTCATAAATGAATACCTTTTAAAGGTAGGCTTCTCAAGCATATGAATGAGTCATTCTAAGCTACCACTGGGGGCAAAAATTTGCTTGTGGACACCCACCTCTGCACCACCACCAAGTGCTTTTCCATTAAGAGCTGCAACACTTATCAATGGAAGTTCCATAAATCTTGTAAGGGTTTCCTGCATGTACTCACACATCATTCTTCCTTCATCCGATGTTCCAATTTCTTTCATAACAGCATTAAGGTCACCTCCAGAGCAAAATGTGTCTCCATGACCTTTCAGAACAACTGCCTTTCCTTCCTTCCAAGATTCCAACTCAGAGACAACATCTTTTAAAGCAACCATCATGTGTCCTGTTAAAGCATTTTTCCTCTTATGGTTTTCTACAGTGACTACTGCAATACCAGTGCCATTATCCTTCTCAAGAATTATGTCTCCATTTCCATATTTTGAAAGACGGTTTAAGAATTTCTCTATCACATCCGGAGGAAATTTCTTATCTGTAGGATTATATGTTGACATGGTTTTCATGTTGCTCAGGATCGCTTTAGTTTTTACTAAGGGCTGCCATAATTTTCTGATGCTCATAATTGCAATTATTTACCTAAAAATGACAAGTTCAATACATTTGTACTAATGCTGCTAATATTTAATAACCAATTTTTATCAACAAAAGCTATTGAAGATATTTTTCTGCTAGCTTTGAAACTTAAATAGAATATCATATAACACTAAAAAATAAATAAAGATGATAAAATTCAACATAATACATAGTTTTTTACAGGTGGATATATAGCTGATCCTGAAAATCTGACTGACATTATCGGCGACTCCAGGTTGAATTGGAATAGAAGAGTAGTTATGACCTTGAAAACATGCAAACTGGAGCCATATACTGTGTTTTTTGATAAACCAAAAGTTGAAATAAAAATATTTTTAATCAATAAAGGTGTTTTCGTTTAGACAGTGGTTCTTAAAATGTCCATCAGTCAGTTTACGGATGGGGGCTTCCAATATCCCAAACATGCTGTATTCAAATCATTATGGGATGCGAACCACTGTCTATACAATGACGTAGTATTGTGGACTGTAAAGCATTTCATGTGTAATGACGTAAAGTATTGTGGACTGTAACTTAGGGACAATCAATTATTTTGTTATAGGGGTTGTATTCAATTTTTGGTTGTAAGCTCGATAAGAGAGTTGATGTTTTTGCTGTGATTTAGAGATTTGTTTATAAAGGGAAAAGATCTAGAAAACGGAAAGTTTGTTGTGTTTATTTATCACTTCATGACACATGCTCTATACAAACATATCTTTCTCAATGAAGTAATAATATTTGGCAAGTTCCACATCAAGCAGGGGCGGCGCGGAGTGATATGAAGTTGCTATTACCACAAATAAACGTACCCTGTGAGTTCTTTACTAGTGAGCTTTTAAACGATTGTTTTAGGACCTATATCTCTTTTCTTAAAGTCCGTATGTACGGGTGGAGCCACTAATCTATTCCTTTGGAATATTGGGTCTCGCATAGGCTGATAGCCTTTGTGAAAGGTGGCTACACTTTGAGGCCGATAGACCCCAGCGGCTCTTTGCCATCTGGTAAAGCCCCTTGCTATTAAAGGTACACTGTGTTATAGCAAGATTGCCACTGTGGTCTAATTGGGTACCTGAGAGCGTATTAGTTTCCCGTGAGAAGTTTGTCTGAAAGTTTGTAAAAGCAGCATAATGGCCTCATCCTCTATAACTAAAAATGCCAGAAATAATATGTACTTTATGTCTGAATCACCTTAAGTCAAAATTTATCTGAATCGGCTTTTAACTAACTTCAACATCGGGTTAGGACATCCATCATTTTGAGGCGAAGGCCCTGCTCATGAGTTAATTTGCCTAAATTTGCAAATATAAAAGGAAGAAAGCCATTGAAACATTCTGTCTTATACATCTATACAAGCAGACGTGAAACAATTTGTTTTTTTTTGCGTCAAGCTACTTCGTTCTCCTCGAGATGAGCACCTACCTGATCTCTTGCTATTAAATCTGAGATTGTAATAGCAAAGCAGCGGGATTTGCATTCCAAACAATAGCCTATTGCGCTGCAAACAAAGGGAGTTATGATGTAATGTACTATTGTTTTCCTTCATTTGCTATGAAAAAGGCCAAAGTAATAGCATGGCCGTTCTGTGGCTGAAGAATGAGACTCCTCTCATGCTGTGGTATATTGGCTTTTGATGAAAGGTCTACTGCGGCTACTTTAGTTTGATTGAATGAGGCAATTACAACTAGAACCGCGGTTGAAAATTTTTGAGTTTTGTTTTATTTTTCTTACATAACACACGAAGTGGCCTTGAAAAAATTGCTATTACAGTAATAGCAATTATAGCACTGTCCGCTGCCCCTGATACCAAGGCCCCTTTACCCTTAAACATCTGCTACTGTACGCCATGGACAGAGATCCTAACCCTCAATATATCCAAATTAAACAAGACCCCAATAATGACATCGAAATCTTCCATTTGCCCCAATAATTTCCACCTACGAGAATTAATATTTCCGATACCTCTAGGGACATAACTAAATACAATAACATCCATCGAGATTAGTTGCAATCAGAAGAAAACCTGATGATCGCAAAGCGTTCAACTAGGAGTAGCAACTTAGAACGCCCTGTTCTTTACATCAAAAAGCGTCACATCGGTAAACAGTAATTTCAATTATTCACTTATTTATATGTACTGAATGTATCTTTTAATGTTGAAAAAATCATCACCAGTATCTTAAAGATCTAAATATGATCAAGGTCCACACGAGTCGCCCCAAGGATGAGGAGGCAAGTTACATACCAAAACAAATTATAAAATATTACCGTAAATGCAAATAGAAATTCTCTTGCGCTTTTTGGCACCTGACTTAGAGCTGATCGTCAGACTTACGGGCAGAATAAAACACAACATCAGCTAGACGAGGCGAATAGGAGGCGTCCGCGCCAAATTACTACCAGCTTAAACTCGTATTCAACACGAGGTTCAGCCAAGCATAGATGGCGAGGCTAGTGGCTACATATGGTGATCCTCATATGATGAATATTTTCTCTGGGATTCTTTGATTGAGAAATTACCCAATTGAATATCACACCCATTTTGTATTTACTTTCTATTGTGAAAATAATTTGACCTCTTAACCTGAATGCATAGACACAGAAAGCTTTTAAAAAAGGGGGAGCATGCATAGAAGAAAAGGGGCACAACTGTTAGCTGCAAAATATCAATTAACCTTTTGTTTCTGAAAATTGAGGGGTGTGTGTCCCCCTGTTCCTGTGTTTTAGTTAGTCTATTCCTGAAAGGCTTCACTTGGCTTCACAAAATAGACAAAAATTTTATAAGGGATTTTTTGACCAGCAAATGATGCCAAGAAAGTTTTTTTCACCTAGGATAATATTTGTATAGCAATTATATAAAGTTCTACCCTAGGGCAGAAGTTGACTCTCAATAGCAGTGGGAAGTTTTACTATTTTAAGGGGTTCATGTAAGGAGATAAAAAGTCACATGGAGTAGATTGTGTTTTTAAAAGTAATAATTTCAAAAATTCCTGATATCCTTCATAAGAAAAAAATCAGTCTCAGGCCTTTTGGCTTGATCCCCCAAACATTTAAGATCTCCATTTTTTCTTTTAACTACAGGAGCCTGGATGAGTGCTAACTAAAACACTTTTTGCTAAAAATAGAGTTTTTGTCCCAAAATATCTTGCTTTGTATCTTTTATTTGCCCTTGGATCTTCATACCCTCACTTTCCAACTTGTCATTGAGCTGATGAGCAAGCCACACAAAAAAGTATCAAACTGCAAGAATTCAGAAATACCACATTCTATGAACATACCAAAATCAGATGAACATTTTACAAAAACAGATTAATTCTAAGGACTAGAATAGATTCCAGCCTATTTTGGATGTTTATTGCACTTCAAATAGTCTTTGCAACATAAATTGAGTATGAAAGGGTTCTTCTAATGTCTATCAACAGCTTGCTCAATTGTAATACAAACTTGTGTCTTAAATCATACTACTTAGTAATCACCTTTCTATTTCAGACAGATACTTAGAAGATGGCTTCCTTTTTTGCATCATTAGCAAAGTCAAGATGTTGTAGATCCGTTAGTCCAGATAAAACAAGCTTGATAAGTGCTTTTATTTTTGCAATGTCCATTGTTAGTTTCTCAGTTTGCTTTGTCAATGTATCCATTTTTTTAGATATAAAGTCTATCCCTTCTTTAAGTGTAAATTCCACAAAAAAACCAAAGCCTACAGCTATCAAAACCTTCGATGTATCAGTTATTTTGGCCTGACAGTAAAAATTGCATCCTATATCTGTCATAACCTTGGCTGATTTCTTTGACAATAACAGTGGCTTGCTTTCAAATTGCTCTATCGACCTTTTCAGCTGCAAATATTCCGCTACTTTTGAATATATCTCATCTCTTTGGTCAATGACCTTTTGAAGATCCCGTTTCAACACATCATTGATAAAAGACTCGTAGTACAATATGGTATCGTTTATTTCCATCTGTGCTTTAAAACTTCGTCCTTCTTTGGCATGTAGCGTGTGATGTTGTTGATTAGCCTCCATTCCACTTCACCTCGCTCTGAGAGAGCTACTACAATGGCGGACAGCGGACATAGTTGGACAAGAAACAAAGAGACAAGAAAGCTTAATTTCATGATAGAAAAAGAAATCTGAATTTTTATTTTAAAAAAATTGAAGATACGTAAAAGCTTAGTACTATGGCAGGCTTTGACGAAGCCGGCCTCCCTGGCAAGCAGTACATAAAGGATGGTTTTGCAAACTGCCACGATCCTTCTGAATTCATTAACGCCTTTCAGCAAGAAAACTGCGTTCTTTTGCCTTCGCTTCATCCGGCTCTTCATTTGTTAGATTTGCAGAATGTCCCACGCGTTAACTTCCACCAGTCACTGCTAGAGGAACTGAGAGATAAGCTACTTAAAAGGATAAAAGACTGTAATAAAGAAAAGTTACAGAATTTATTGGAACATACATTCAAGTTTGTACATGTTGACCAGCTTAGGCCTGTTATCATGGCTATAATGAAAGAGATACCTGGAATCGACCCTGCGTATCTAGATCAGCTTGCTGATAATTCCAAACTATATGACGATTGTCCTATGGAGGTAAAAAGACAGATCTGGATAAGAAAACACCCTCTGTTTGGAGATGCTGTTGGCCCATTGTTAAAGGATTATTTAGAATACAAGTATGCAGAAATTTTCAGCCTGGATCCAAATGCAGGAAAGAATTTTTTTGTTATTGCACCCAGACAAAGAAGACAACACAAGATTGTGAAAGAACTAGCAACAATGATAGGTCTGGCAACCATTCTTGCAATTTTAAATTATACTAAGACTGCAAGTGAATAAATATCTTCATAAACTGTTCAATTAAAGAAGGCAAAAGACCAATTAGGCTAAAATTGCCTTTCTATTGGGATTGTCTTTTATGCATGTGTTCTTTATTATATTTAAGGCTGGAAATTTACATAAAAGCAACACCAAGCTATCAAGAAATTCTTATAATACAACATTTAACATAATCATTCTTTATGACGGTTTTCTAACACAAGATTTAATTTGCATCTAATATACCAATCATAATATTTGAAATCAGGCATTTTACATTTAGTTGTAAAACTGACCCAATCATGGATTTTCTAGAAACATTTTCTTGGAAATATTTGCTCATGTTTACGAAAAACAGAAGCAAATCATAATAGCCTGATAACATATCAATCAGGAGAATGTTTCTTGAAATTGTTTCATCAAAGCACTAGTTTGAATTTTTTTAGGCAGTTTCATGTCAAAGAATTTGTGGTTTTACAGATAGAAAACTCATTTCTTTCACTTCAATTTGCATAAATCCACTTCAATTAATACTGAGATGGAAGTTACTGGCTTTTAAACCATTTGATAAAATCCTTTTAAAAAAGTGACAACAGAGTTTGAAAATAAGTTTTTGTCAAGGTTATGTTTGTTTTTTATTGTAGGGAAGTCCATAGAGCTCTACAACTTACTTTTGCAGTTTCTAAGAACCCTTTTCTTAAGGACTAAAGAGGTTCATTATTGCTCTTTACGTGCTGAGATTCTAATGGCCTTCCATGATGCCGATATCACAGAAATTAGGGCTGTAGATCCTTGTCACAAATTTGCTTGGTGCCTTGATGCTTGCATTAGAGAAAAGAATCCAGATAGTAGGAGGCTGAAAGAGTTGAGGGCTTTTATTGATGGAATGAAGAAGGGTGAAGAAGAAATTATTGGGTAAGTTGCCTTGCTAGAAGACATTTCTGTTTTTGAATCAAATGGCCTAAACTTTGCACTGCTCATGAATTTTTTAGCTTCTGGGCATTTATACATTGCCTTGTATCATTTTTATATTCATAAATATTTTAGTAAAATTTCTGCAAGGTTGAAGTATTATCTAGTACGTATTCAGTCACACAGCAGTAAAATTGCAACATACAATTAGGCACACATGAAATTCAAAGTACTAACTTTTCCATGCATATAGTAACAAAAATGAATGAGTATTCTGTCTGTCAGAACTAAAGACTGCTGTAAACTGTGAACCATCTTCTAGTGTAAGTAGTTGTTTCATGAATTTTTCATGATCTAAAGTTTATTTAAGCCAGCTGTCTAAACCTCAAAGAATTTTGCATGACATTTCTTTCTTCAGTGAATTTTTTCAATATTGGTTGTTTTACTATTCAGGGATGTTGCAATGATTGCTTGTGATCCATTTGCTGTGAATACTTTGGCAACAAGTATTCTGTCACTCTGCAGTAGAATGATCAAGACAGAATCCTTACCAAGGGTGTGTCAAAGTTCTATTCTTGATCAATGTTCATTAGTCATAAGACAACCCTCATCCTTTGTCAGGATTATGATTAATCTGTCTTTTTGGTAAAGTGACTCCTATGTGACTATGGTCATGATTTTTAATAAATATGGTTAAAAAGTATATATAATCTTACAGAATGATTTTATTAATTCATAAAATAACTTTAATACGTCCAAGCAATAGTTTTTACTGGTCAGCAATAGATTTCAAGCTTTTTATTATTATTGAAACTCTAATTGGTAATAATGATTATGATAAAGTGTGGGAAAGTGTCAAAGCCTACTTACTCAGATCCTATGTGTGGTAATGTTTATTTTAAAGGTCAATATTTAAATCTACAAGATTGTACAAAAAGATATCTATTTGCCTTTGAATAGTCTGTACACTATAATTGTTTCTGGTTTTTTAATTTTTTTCTTTTGCATTCACAGGCAACCCCAGACATCTTGTTTCTAGTCAGAATCTTTACTCTTAGTCTTTCAGCATGGGAAATGATTAGTAAGCAACAATATAAAGAACCTCCATTGGTAAAAACTTCATTCTTTAATTATGAATTTTTGTTTTGACTCATTATGTACCATGTATTCTATTCATCAGCAAGCCCAAATTTTGGATTTTGCTCTACCTTGCTTAGGGAAAGCACAAAGATCACAAGTTGGTTAAAATTCTTCAGTGACAGTTTTCTGCTGGTTTTTTCAACCTATGAAAAGCTAAATGCTGTTCACAGTGCCTGCCCAGACTGTGTTTTTTATGTTTTGTGGTTTGTTAATAGTTTTCCATAACAAGTATCTGGCAAAGCATCCCTGTCTAACACAGCAGTAAGGGATCTAAGCATTTTGTAGATAGGGAGAAAATATAATGGAATGCAACAGAATAATTCAGTTCTTCATCACCTTATTTTGGTTTTTATCTTTAGCAAGATAGGCAATGCTTCTAGGCATGAGATGATGCCTGAAACCTATAGATGAATGCTTTACACTATAGCTCTAAAAACATGAAATTACTTTGACTACATGTGCTAATAGAATAGAAGCCATTATAAAGTCTTGCTAGAATGAGCATAAGATGGCTCTAGTAAAAGCCGTTCTTTTTATTATCCAATTCAGCTAGATCAGAATCTGTGTTTCTACGAATTTCCCTGTGATCTCCCTGAATACTATCGAGTTTTAGGCTGAATTTGACAGTAGATACTGTGTACTGATTAGGCACTTCAAAAACTGCTGGTCTTTAATCAGTCTCCTTTCAGCATTGTAAGCAACACATTGATGTTTTCCTTTATCTCAGAATAATGACATCATCACTCGATTTCTGCCTTCGCTGGCCTCCTTGATGCTTGAGGAGCAAATCCATGCTATCTCAGAGAAAATCAGCCATCATTCCAGCAAAGTAAATTTGCCAAACGTGTTCTTAGAATATGTGAAAGACAATTTTATAGCCGCAACGCTTGGTTGGTATTACATAATATACCTCATACAGCATGCAAAAGGTAAGTCTACGCCACCTTAATTACTTCATTTTGGGCGGGTGCCCCATGATGTCTGTTACTATTGGAAGATTTTTACTGTGACATTTTTAGAGAAGTTAGAAAGTAATAGTAGAAACGATTTTGCTTGTGCAAGAATAAGAACAAAATAGTCACATGTTGAAATGCAGTTTTAGAGGAAATAATGCTTCAAAATTGTGTAAGAGATTTTAACAGTGATTCTAAGAGCACTACTTTATAATGGTGACAACGCACCTTAAGCATGTAGACATTTAAACAAAAACATACCTAGAATAAGGGTACAAGGATAACAGTGTCGGAGAGTCCATTAGCACCCTTTTTGACTAAAACCCTTGTCAGAAATAGTTGGAATACCACAATATTCACATTCGATAGCTGACAACCCGAAGATTTAACTACCCCTCCAAGAAATCAATGCTATAGCTATACCACCCCCGTACAATGTTGTTTTTTTTCATTAGAAGTGTTTATGCGTCCAATCATTGTTAGATTAGGACTGACAATCTCACTTTATTGATATTAAGCAACACTGTAATGAAGGGAGTGGAAGAGCATTAAAGATTTCTTATGGATGATGCAACAATTGTTTCAAGGATTATATATCTAATAGCACGCTGTGTTAAGAATGATGATTCTGATAAGTTTGAAATTCTATCGTTCTGAGTCAATTTAGTAATCTTGCTTGTTGTTTTCATAGTTTCATAGGTGCTCGCATATTTTCCTTTTTGCATTTACTTCAAGGGTGTGATTTAGCTACTGGTGTAACTTCCTCGGCTGTTAATATGATACGTCCCTGCTTAGTCCTGTCCCCCCCACCCCCCCCCCTAGTAACGGGCTATTTCTTTGGTTTATGAAAATAGAATGTCCCAGTGCAGAATATTGAAAGTCCTATGAATGATTTTATCATCTTGCTCAGAACAATGCTTCACTGCGTCCTGCCGACCATTTGCCGTGCCAGCAAAGCGAACCCACCAAACGACTGTCTTTTAAACGCCATTGTCAGCGGATTGTTACGTCACCTCGATGACTTCCATTCAGCTGATTACTGCTCTTTGATTTTCGATCAGTTTCTTTTTACTTGGCTCCCACAAGAATCCGTCTTGCATCACTCACTTCGCCTTCTTTGGTTCACCCACGTGAAAATTGAGAGCAGCGTAATGGTGGGATTGCTGACTACCATCCAGCCTACGAGTGAGGTATGTCTGTCTTAAGTCTGTTATCATAATTGTCATCTCTCTCAGTATCCTGTCTTTTCATTCTGATGTAATGTGAATCTTGGAGAAACCCTAGTACCGAGAGCTTGGCAAGATAGGCAAATATAAAATGGATTGCTGCAGTGTGTCGTGATTTTTAGTGCAGCTGTGATCTGAAATCGATCTGCATTCGTGCACCGATTATCCTTTATAGTGTAATTTTGAATCTCTGTGAACACAAACTTGCAAAGCTGCCCGTTCCTTTTCAATGCAACGAAAACTGTTTATATTTTTAACTCTGGCCTCGCCCTGCATATGACAGCCTCAGTTTCACATTTGTTATGGAGGTAAATTGCTAGCCAATAAACTAATACCCTACCATGTAGGAAGTATTTAAAAGTAGAGGGGAGCAGAAATTGCAGTGAAGTTTGATCACACCCAGTTTTCAACAAAGACTAAATTGACCTCACTAATTTGCTCCAGCTGGTCCTTTTAATGGATTATTGATAGTATCCACAATGCATACTATCACACAATGCATCCTTTTGCATACTATCCACAATGCATACTATCACACAATGCATCCAATGCATACTATCACACAATGCATGTGAACACACAATGCATCCTTTTTTTGAGAACACCGAAGCTAGATTTTCCAAAAAATTAAGAGCAATGCAAGAGCCTGCCCTCAGATGGAAATTATGCTCTAATGTTACTAAACAGCAGTTTTAATCAGCTAGTGAACCGTGCTACTAAAAATGTCACACATAACCGTTGAATGGTTCTTTTTGAAGAGAAGACTGTAGCATGTGAAATGTAATTAAAATAAAAATGGTATTTAAACAGCACTCCGCAAAAAGGACTCATTAAGAGGGCGTTCCCAGAATTTAAGAAGAATGTATACTTGACTGGAAGGCAAGTTTTCTGGTTTTTTTAAAGTTGAAGGCATGTATTCCAAGCGCCACCTTGGTTTTTATCTCTTGTAGCAAAGTTAGTATCATTAGATGAATTTTTGTTTCTGTTTCAGCACGCAGAAAACCTTCACGAGCTCCACGCAAAGTTGGTGGATGCCGTTGCGTCTTCTAAAGCAAGCACGCCGTCAAGTGTGGAACAACCAAACTCTTTATCACCTGCAATATCGCCTGTGATTTCACCAGGGTTTAGGACCCCACCTTCTATGTGAAGTTCTCTACAATGTTTATACTAAATGCTACCGTTCTGGTAGCAACTTTGGAGCTCAGAATAGAAGGCCACTGTCTAATCTAGCTGTTATTTGAGGAGCCAAAAAACATATCTAGTTTTTCTCATGGACAGCCCGGTTACAAAAAATGACTCTTATATCTTTTTAAGGCTGATCGGCTATAAAATATTTGGAGATATATTTTTTGGGGAACAGAATGTCGAATGGGTTTTCGTTTTTAAGGATGAGGCCCTTAATGAATAGAAAGTGCTCGGACTTTTCGCATTCAAGACTCTATTATGGAAATGTTAGACGAAATGGTCTGCGCCAGATCGCAAAAGTCCTGTAGAACTAAAGAACTGAGAAAGTATATAGCTAAAGACAAAGGCAATGACGACAGGGACCGCGGTAGTGGGGGTGGCTGAGTGGACTTTAGCCCCCCAATATTTTCCAAAATGTCTTTAAATTGTTTACTTCCCCAAACTTTTTAGCCCCCTCAATCTGTACTATGCTCCGCGGTCCTCGAATAGCAACGTCAACGGCCCCCTTTCCTCTCCTTTTGTAATTCACCTAGATCTGAGGAGAGATTGTTTGGGGAGCGGTGAAATTTTGGTGAAGGTGAAGACGATTGATTAAATGAAAGCTAAATACTGAGTACAACATAAAATCTAACATAGAGACAACAAGTAACTCTTTTTGTCCTGTTCTGTTCTTCAAACGTTGCGCTTTTTAATATTCTGAATGACCAGTGCTATCTGCTGCTCCCATCCTTTTATAAAGGTTCATCTCATTAACAATTTATATACGGCGAGGCAATGACTCCATAACTCAACATTTCTTTTTGTGGAACGGTGTTAGAAAAAATTGGATTTTGATTACGTCATTTTATGGGTATAGCGGCTGCATTGATTATTTTGTTAAAATACCATTTGAGAAACAAGAATTTTGTCCGTGAAAATCGCTGAAGTTATTAAAGAAGCCAAGCAACGGAGAATCGTTTATTCAGTAGTTCGAAAAAGTTTGTCAAACAGCGGGGGGTGTTTCAAACGGGGACAAAATAAACGGGGGTGTTTCAAACGAATGCACTCCGACCGGGGGTTATTGCTTTGCATTAGCTCTGTAAGGGGTGTTTGACTTCTTATACATATCTAGATATGTTTCATGGTTCTTTTTCAGGTTGTGTGATCAGAAATTGAAAATTCTTAAAATAAATTTAATGACATCATACTTAACAACTCTATTGGGGGGGCAGGGCAGAAATCCTAAAAATCTTACAAAGAAACAGGCGTGGTTATTGGGCTGGTCAACGAGAAGCTCTGTTTTACATCCATCTGAGAGCGTCCTTTCCATCAACTATACATGTTCAATCCAAATAAGAAAATGCCCTTTTAAATAAAACTATCCTTTCTCAACAATGCTAACATAATAAGCTAATAAGTTACCTACTTTTATTATCGGATTTCGAAAAATGATTTTGATCATATGGGCTAACCATACCTTGATTATTTTTTCCTGGTCATTGCAGGACAAGCACAATCTCGCCCACATTTCGCCCCATTCCCTTGTCATTATAGCAAATTAGCTTATTTAATTTGGTGCCAATTGCTAAATCAATTTGGAATGGTTGGGATATTTTGATACGATTATTGTCGCATGATTTGACTTAACAAGCTATGCGAATGGGGAAAAACTTTCTTTATATTTAGTGTGGAATGTGCAGTTTCGATTGATTGTGACGCCTTAATGATGGTATGTGCATGTGACTCTGAGGGATGTTTACTTCTCTTCACCAGCCTCATTTAATACTGGACTAAGTATTTGATATTTTAAACAGACAGTCGGGGCCAGAGGGGTCGTTTGGGGGGGCGCTGGATGGGGATGTGATACCCCTCTTGGAAGAAAACTTCAATGTTAGATATTTCGACAAATAAAGGATGGCTCGCCTACTTTGTCGGCAAATGGGATCGGGGCAACCCCTTGTGGACAAAAGCTAGCGACGGCCCTGATTGGGGCTCATACCCTTGATTCTGGGTTCAAATGTACGAATAATGTCCGAGTTCGTTATATATGACCAAGATAAAATAAAAATAGGTACCTTATTTTATCTTGATATGACAAGATCGCAAGTTCAACAAAAATAGAAAGGGTTTTGAGATTTTTTAATACGGAACAAATTTGGCTTTCGATCATAAATTGTACTTTTCTGGAATTCTCCATCACTCGTTGTGCCCTATTCATTAATGTCCTTGGCTTTGCAGAATCCCTTGAAAAATGGCTTGTTGATAACGAAGGACCCTGAAAGCCGGTCGTTCAAAGAATGCCACGAAAGCAGAAAATCGAAAATCGATTAGTTCTCATGCAGAACGTAACGAGCCTGCAGAAAATAAAATGTGATCACGTGGTGCTCCATTGATTTTTCATTATCAAATCCCAGGTGCGGTTAACAATGGGTTGGTTAGTATAATACGAAAAGCAATGAAAATCACCTCATTTTGTGGCTTTCTGCCGAAGAAGGAGTCGAAGTGCCAAAAACCAGAATGACGGAGAAAGGAATATTCAAATTTATCAAAAATCATGTCAATAGAAAAAAGAAACACAAATCGTTGAATACGTACAAATTTACATTGAACATTGCTATTCTCGGCTCCGCAGGCGTTGGAAAAACATCGATTTTGAACCGTATCACGGAACACTGTTTTACAGAAACGCATTTGCCAACTGAAATTGACGTTAAGGAGCATGTTGTTGTAGGTGAAAACCTAGAAGTTACTCTACGATTGCACGACGTTTCGAACAACGCTGAATTCTGTTTGACCAGACGACGGACAATTCTCGAGGCAGATGGATTTATTTTAGTATTTTCACTTGCAGATAAAAATTCTTTTGAGGAGTTGGAAGTTTTTCGATTGCATATTGAATCACTTAGAGGGAGCGGGGCTTCTGAGCTTCCAATTATTGTTGTTGGAAACAAAAGTGACTTGGCTAATGATGGGGTATGTTACGATAGAATTATGAAATGGTGCATGAACGAAATGGACAGCTTGTATTTGGAATGCTCTGCTAAACAGGATAGTGAAGTGTCGCGAATCTGTCCCACATTATACGATGAACTAGGAGTGTGTGGCTTGCTGTACAAAAAAGTAATGGAGATTCAGTTCAAAGAAGAAGTTAAGAAAGTTAGCAAGGAGCGAAGATCTCGCTAAAGGATTCTGCAATCTCGCTAAAGGATTCTGCAATCTCGCTAAAGGATTCTCCAATCCAATATGGAATGCAGTCGCTGCCTAGATGATAATGTTCGTTGCCGTCGAATTGCTGAAAATGAAAGGACCCACAATTTGGTTTAGAAAAATATTTATAAGGTTGTCGAACGAAGGAGTACGGTAGTTTAACTGGTTTTGCCGTTAAGCGTTGCAAAGCGGGGGGCAAATCACTATATAAAAAATATCGACCCTCTTGGGTAAAAATCCGATTGTTTTAGCAGAAATTCCGTAGGAAATCGTTTTATTATGATGGAAATCTCGAACGCTTTTTCCAAAAGTGAGTTGCCCCTCATGCAAAGTAACTTAAGTATTCTTATCTAGATAGATTGCTAGTAGAGGATGTGATATTTAATGCAGTAGAGTTTGCATTTTGCTGTTACGTGCCTAAGCAAGCTAAAATATTGCTGACCACAGGTAATTTTTCTCTGTGGGACGTCTTGCGCTTTTTAGTCTAAAGGACTATTGATCTAGAAAGAGGAAATTTTTTAGACAAAACATTATCTAAAGCCTAAACCCACTTTGGAAAAGTGGATAAGAGTGCGTGGTCTTCCGTAACAAATCAACAGTTCCCGTTTTCTCAGAAAGATTTGTTTACAAGGGACTATAAAAATTGTGAACAATGTCAAAGTCTTAGAATTGAAATGCTTAGACTGAAACAGGATAAATTCGTAAGTCTGGGGGTGGGGGTGGGGTACTCCCATTAAGGTCAGTCGATTTGAAAGTCTTACCAAATGATTACCAAATGGCCCAGTTTCGAGAATAACACAACGTTTGTTTAAAAAACAATTCGCAAAAGCTATTTATCTGGACAAGATTCCGGAAAAAGTTACTTTTTACAGGTTTAAAAATTTCACTTGCTTTACAAGTAGAGAGTGCAAACTTTTCCCTTCATATTTGGATTAAGGTTGTCAAAAATGCATATTGTAAGATACTGTAATACAATAATGATGCCTAAATTATCAGAAACCGTATTACAACAAATTAGAGGACAGTTTAATTAGGAAAACATTTGGAGAGTGAAGATACTTGTGCTATGCTGCTGTTTTCGCTGTTTTGCTAGGCGGGTTCGGAAAACGAACTTTTTTTCGGTATTAAATGAGTTTTCATTGGAGCTTGACATTAGAAATTTCAGTGTTTAGGTGTTTGTTTTGATATGAACAATTGCATTCTGATAAGCTGTTTCCTGTTAGAATAGCAACCTCCCCCCACATTGTCTTTGTGCATGTTATTGCAATTGGAGAGTTTGGCACGATACAAGCATCACCGGTCTACTTATGCTTACGTCAGGGGAACGACAGAAAAATTGCTACTGCGGTGAAGTACCAAAATAATTGCTCTCTTTGGATGTGGTTTGAGAGTATCTTGCAGGTCAAGCCTGCAGCATTGCTTTGTTTTATACCTGCGTTTTAATTGCCTACTCCGTCTCTAATAAATCTAATACCACTTCAATATCAGAGCCTACGTCTCAATGGCACGAAATGCTAGAGTATATCCTGAACTTTGTTTTATCCTTACGAAATAACAGGATTGAAATTCCCCGAAAACCCCTCAGAATTAGGTTAGCATGCTAAATCTGATTTATTTTCTGTAGATGTCGCTTTCCCCTGGATAAAACAATCAAAACGTTTTGTTAGTAAACGAGGCACCTTCATTTTCATGAAATTAATCAACTATGCCTGCGAATAAAATCTTATGTCATAGACTTATTTTATAACAATTTTTATTGAATGTCATAGACAATTCATTAGAGTGATCAATTCAAATGTTCTACATCGCAATGCGAATTTCAATTGATAAAATTTAAGTATTCGGAATTAGAGAGTATACAATTTGATTTAATCATAAAAAGTAAAGTCACTTCGATCGTGCCTTATTGGTTGACATTGTAAGTTATTAAAAGATATATAAATATATATATGTTTCATGTTTTGAAATTGCTTAGATTATTAATGTCAAAATAAAATGAAATTTGCGAACTTGATTTTTTGTTCATTTTACTCGCACATTCTTGATCCGTGGGATCGTTTCACTTGAAGTTGTTTCGCAAAGAAGCATCCATTCAAGGCGGGCAAATAGCTGAAAAGGAATATTGCTAGATTTTGTGAGGGCAAGAGGCTACTGCCAGAATTGAGTACCAGAATGAAAATAAAATAGCTTGATTGTTAAAAACACAGCGTTTCGAGCATGTACTCGTTATGATATCATCAAAAGACTATGTTGCATTATAGTGTTTATGACTCCCTCGCATTTGTTTTGCTTTGCAAGAAACTCAAATAAACAAAAAAAAATTTGTTGATGAAGCTTGAGCCTTCCATTATTCTTAAATTATTCTTGAATTTCAGCGATTTTGAGCCTTAATATTCTTATATACTAAATTCTCAAGGTGTGTATTCTTCGGTCCCTTATATTTGGGCAGCAACAACAGCACGAGTTCATTTTCCATGTGGGCTCGATTTTTACCTCATTGGGCTCGACTGAAACGAGGCGACCCGGAAAAATGGCGCCCTCTTACATGGACGTGGAAACCCAAAGCTATACTGAAAACATGAAGAAATATTTTCAAGATAATTCCCGAACGAAAGATTTTGTTGGGCATTCAGCAAAGGTAAGACTTGTTTCACAGTCTTAGGAAGACATTAAATGTAATTCCACATCCAGCTGCACAGTGCACACCGAATTTACAAATGTTCACTTATTTTCACGCCGAAAAAACAGGGCCAAACAACCTTTCAAACATGTTATTGCCAATCTTGTTGTGAACTGCTATACTTTATAGTCTGCATATGTCATACGGAGACATATTGGCACTTTTGTGCACCAAAAATTTGAGAGCCTCTTTGCCATGCTAAAATAAATATAAATCCCATAGAGATAATTTTATACAGGCTTGCAGTACAAACCATCATGCACAGCAGTGGCGGGTTCAGACCGGGTTCCAAGGGTTCTGGAACCCTATCAAATTTTCCTAAGACACATAACACCAGTTTTCTCTTTACTTTCGAATAAATTACAACAAGTCCCAACGTCAAATGGCCTCTTGTACCAAAACCTTTGCTGCTCTTTAAATATGGTAGGGTGAAAGAAAGGAACCCTGTCGTAGCCGTGGTTATCTTTTGTAACATATTATATTCCTCTAAAGAAAGGAACCCTGTCATAGCCAAGACAACACTTTGTACCATATTGTATTTTTTAAGAAAGGAACCCTGTCATAGCCATGTCAATTGATTGTGTTATATTGTTTTCACTACAAACAAAAGAACCCTCTTGGAACCCATCTCAAGAACTCATTGAAACGTATTTAAACCGCTGACCGTCCTGTTTTTATAATGGCGATGTGAAGCTGCGAGTGGAGGCTTGGAGGCTTTGACTGCACGACGACGAGAGCTTGTTTTAAGCCCTCAAACAGGAAGATACCAGCACCTGAATATCAATGAAATTTGAAAATCGTATGGAAGAGTGCGTTAAATTTTCAATACAGCTTTTCAAACATGCCTCAACAACTATTTGCTCATTTTTCTTGACTGGCCTAGCTAACCCAGAGAAGACAGATCACCACTTTTTTGCTCATGGATCAAGCGAAAAGTCCATTTCAGATAGCTGTAAAGTGGTATTCATGAGATTTTGCAATAAGCAGGAGAGAATTCTTTGTAGGAAGCTCAGGAATGTCGAAGATATTCTCTCTTTGACCTGCAAAGTTGATAGAACTCTTGAAGCCCTATACATGATATATTTATCTATAGAGTAAGAACTTTATCAAGGTAAAATGAAAGACTTTAGAGAATGGGATAAGATGATTTAATATGTCATAATTTGCACTTTTTAATAATTGGGTTTGTTTGCTATATATGATAAGAGGCTTCGCCCATCGTTATCCATTTTTGACAATCTTGGTGACTATTCGGACCTATTTGTAAATTTTTCTTGTTTATTATTAATGGGTAATATTTATAGAATGAATTTCACTCAAATCTTGCAACACTCAGTAAGCTTATGTCCTGCTGTAACCAGCTAGAGGAATTTATTAAGGTTTGGCAAGAAATTGAAACCATTCTTTTAGAATTCATAATGACAATTCCTGGTTTGGTTAACAGATAAATATTTTTTTACTTGCCTTGGAATCATGATGGAATAATGTATATTGTTAAAATTAAATCTTGCAATTGTGAATCTAATAAAAAAGCGAAAATGGGCATCACCCAATTTTGGACAAAAGTCAAGGGCGTTGCCAGGAAAAAATTATGGGACCACGCCTATATAAGAACCCACTCAAATTTTTTTCTAAATCTACCCCTGATGCACAGCGCATCCTTGAATAGCTAACCAACAAGCATGATAATTAAAACCTACATATATCAAAATTTCTTGACTTTTTGTCCCATTCTTTAAATTCTTGTGCACCTTAAAATGCCCTTGATGCTTACAGTTCATACAATGTTTATCCCTTGAAAGAAATGTTTTTCTCTAGAACGAAAACAGTATTACAATAAATTTCTTCAATTGCAAATTGTTTCTCTTTTGCAGGTACACTCTGTGGCATGGAATTGCACTGGGCGATATCTGGCTTCTGGTTCTTTTGATAAAACTGTCAGCATTTTCAATCTGGACAAAGATAGACTGGTATTGAGAGATCTAAAGATTTTTTTCCAATGATGCTTAGTTTGAACCTTCAACTTCAGGTTTTGTCTAATCAGGATCTGACATCTACTTCTCTCATAGTCCAATTTTATCATGCTTTTGCTGAATAATTTGATATAAGTTGGTTTTTCCTATCTTAGCTTAGAGAATCAAACATGAAAGGTCATACTGATAGTGTTGATCAGTTGTGTTGGCATCCAAGTCACCCTGACCTTCTGGTTACTGCTTCTGGAGACAAAACCATCAGAGTCTGGGATGCAAGAGGTAAACACTTTCAAAAATTACCATGCTTACATTTTTGGTCATGTCTATTTTGCAGAGATCAGAAGTAGTAAATTTTTTGCTTTTATTGTATATGGGAAGACTATCTGTTGTAAGCGAAGAATTATTCTTGACTCTTGGAGAAAAATCACATAGCTGTGTTGAACTCATAGGAAACTTGAATGAGTTGAAAAATTTTGATTAGATATGCATCTATGCAGACTCAGGTTATTGTTGTGAAGAAAGCCTGTCCAAGGTTGTCTAGCGGAATCCCTTTAACCCCTTGGTGAATCATATCTTTTTGCTATGCCATGGGTAGAAAAAGTATTGTACTATAGTAATATTGGTCCCAGAAAATATTCTAATATTTTGGGTCCCAGAATGCTCAATAGGCTTGGCTTATATATGGTAATTTGCAGTACAGAAATTATTTGTTTAACTGCTGTCCCAGCAAGAGAGTTTGTTTGCATCCCTGTGTTTGGCTTCAGTAACAAGGCAGAGTTAATTTATTTTTATTTTCTGACAAGTTTGACTTGTGGCAAGCTTGAATGGGACAAATGCAAAGGTTTCCTTTTTGAATCATTTTATTATTCTACTTATTCATTTTCAATGTTTATTTCAGCCAACGGCAAATGCATGGAAGTTGTTAGTACTAGGGGTGAAAATATCAATATTTGTTGGAGTCCAGATGGGCAAACCATTGCTGTTGGAAACAAGGCAAGTTTTTTAAACCAAACATCAGTTTTGATTGCATTGTTTGAAAGCTTTGTTTTACCTTGCTGTTTCTGGTGATGTTCGATTTGTTCATGACTTAAATAGGCTATTGCTGATTTTCACTTTTTAATTCTGATTTCTTAAATTATCTTGCTTGGTTCACTGTAATATATTTGCAGGTAAGTTTTAGATGGCTATAACTTTACCCTAGGTCAGCTTTGGTTCATTATTTAGTAATGCTGTACTGATTTTCCCAGAAGTTGAGGAAAGAAAGTAGCTGACTGCTTGAACTTCCTTAATTATTTGTTATGCTTTTTACCACAATCGTAGCTATTTTTAACTTTGTACTTAATGCCTTTTGTACTCCCACAGGAAGATCTCATAACATTTGTTGATACCAAAACTTTTCGAACTAAAGCAGAAGAACAGTTTAAATTTGAGGTGAGCCAGTTCTGATTATGGAAACTAACTGTTAAAGAAATCAAATTGTTTGAAATGTAGAAATAAGGGAAGAGTACCTCTCTTAACATCATCGCTGACATGATTTTTATGTCTTTTTTTAAAATAAGAAATGACAGTAAGTCATTTTTTTGAATAAATGATGGAAAAAGTAATTTCAAACCCCAAAAAGCACAGATGTTTACCCACAAAAATGGCAGCAATTTAGTGATATAGCCAATGAAAAAAGGCTTACCATAGCTGAAGTGCAGTGACATTTAAGGGGAAGAGGGGAGCCTTTAAAACAACAGTTTAAAGGATATTCTAGTCCTGTAAAAAATTGGAATAGATAGAGTAACACAGCAGAGAGGGCTTGGGGCTATGCTCGTCAGAGTATGCATTAGTACAAGTACTTAATAGTAGTAGTAGGGGATACTTGCCTATCATACGATTTGCAAATTTATGGAAAGAAGATGGTTTAAATTTTTATGAAAGTATATCAAGATTGAGATTGAACTGATTCTTAATCTCCATTTATGGCGTCATGTGTCATATTACAAACATGATGACGCAATTGTAGGACTGTTTTCTAAAATACAATTAGCTAAGAGAAAATGCGATCTATTTGGGTCCTTGGACCTGCCTGCGGAAAGTTTTAAGGACCACGTGGTGGAGGTGGGGTTGTTGATCTGTTTCAAACTCTTCAAGGAAAGTCGCACCCCGTCAAATATCGTTGTTTCTCGAAGATAATATTCATTTTTAACAATTTCTTGCTGACCTTGAGGAAAACGAAAGTAGGTTGCTCCTCAAAAATTAGTTGCGAAACCCTGTCCTCATTATCGCGTGCTAATTAGAGGGTTGAGTGAATCTGAAATCAAATGTTTCCTGAATGTTGTAATTACACTTGCAGGGCAATTTTTTATTTTTTTTAAACCGAGAATTTTCCATGTTAATTTTCATTTTTGAGACTGTGGAGGCGTTTATCATTAACACCATCTGGTGCAACTAAGCCATTAACCAAAGATACATAGCAACAAATGTCCCATTGCCTTCGAATTAGATGCAATAAAAAGATGAATAGAGACTAAATTGATTTGCCTGATCAAGAAAATTATACACATTGAAACTGAATACGCGATTTTAGGTGATAAGATAATTGATTTGTTGACAAATGATTGTTGTTAATATCCTTTATTTGATAATGTCTGATCACTGATTTTATATTGTTGAATACCCAAGCTAATTTGTGGCGAATAAAATTGTTTTGTTCAACTAGAGCGCAAGCTTAATCAAGGCATTTGTACTGAATTTATCTAACCGATGCATTTAAGGGCTTTCTAATGACGTAAATGTGTCCAAAGGTGTTCAAGTGATCCCCTTAACACTATACAACATTTAAGGAGTCTTTCCATACTAATTGTAAAACTTCGACTGTTTTTCTTTGTCCTTTATTGCTCTGAAGTCTCTTACTTCCTTGCCTACACCGCAGACTTCTCTCTTCCTATCTCCGTTTGGAAGGGGGGGGGGGGGGGG